GCGAGGCGGCGTAGGCCTTCAGGAAGGGGTTCATGTTCTCCCAGCAGTTCAGGTGCCCAATGCGGCCAATCTCAGTGTCCATAACTGATTCGGTAGTGTCACCGGTGCCATCACCGAAGACAAGGCGCTCAACGTGGGTGGCCTTAATCTTGCGACGGTGGTTGATGACATCTCCAGCTGGGCTGATCATGATTTGTGTGGTGTACAAGCTGGCGAGATCAAGCTCCGAGTATCCAAGAGACACCCAAATCTTGTTGGCCTTGGCTGCCTCGCGGATGCGGCGCATCTCCTCCGAGTCGGAGGCGAGACTGTTCTCGCGATACTTCTTTAGAAGGGGTAGGCTCTCCTGGTAGTTGACCTTCCAGGCCCAGTAAGGGTAGCCAGGAATCCCTATTTAGATTTATTAGTACATTTTACCCGGTAGCTGGGACTGTTATACTAACACAGCTCAGGGAAAGCAATCAGCTTGCAGCCCTCCTTTCCTGCTTCATCGATCCAGTGGATAGTCCGGCGAACGGATTCCTGGAGGTCGAACCAGCCAGGCTCAGCGTTGACTGCTGCGGCCTTGTACTTCTTGAGAACGGGAGCCATTGTGAGATGTTGATGGTACTGCGGCGAGTGTTTGCCTTGAAGACTGTTGTGTAGAATGAAAGTCTCTCTTCAAGCCTGGGAAGTACCTCAATTTATAGCAAGTCGAGCTGTCTTGTATGTTGGCTTTGAAACAACGTCCTGCACCTCCCAAACCCCGAACTACAGAACGAGAAACATCATGAGATTCGGATGCTCTCGGATTCGGGGAATGCTGAAATCACTGAACAATGGTCATCATAGCAGTGAAGCCCAACTCTGAGCCACGGGAAATGATAACGGGATTTGCTTCAATGTGGTATCACGCCAGAGGTGAGTTCCCGGAAGTTCAACATTACGCATCAGTAAGCATAAAGTACCTAGCCCGGGATCTGTTAAGGTTGTTTTAGTCACACCATGATAGGTGGGCCTTCTTGTTGCTGAACTTCGGTGATCCGCCCTAATCCCGGGGCCTTGCAGAGCTCTCCCGGATTGTTCCACCCAAATCCCGACATCAATTCAATCCCGACAGAGACGATCAGTCACTATTCTAGAGAAGATAAGGGAATTGCTTTGTTTCAGTCTTATTGCATCCCGAGGATTTTGCATCTTGATAGGATTTGATTAAATAATCGTATATGACCAATTGCCGCTCTCGGATTCACTCTAGACACAATTGTCTTCACTAGGTCATTTTGCATCTATACCGCCATATTTCAGCTAGATGTTACACCTTCCCTTGGCTTTTCGGTCACCTTCTATTACTGGGCTGGATTCATCGTCGATTTCGAGGTAATGTGAATGTTGGGCGCTGGTATGTCATCCACAAGAATTGGTAGTACTCATGTCCTCTGAGTTGACTAATTAATGAATAGGTCTTTACAAATGATTTGATGACTTTATTCAAACGTTTCTTAGCCAAAGAGATGCTATGAAAGGGCTCCAAGGTCGGTCAAATCAAGGACGCTTGAGTATCAAACCTGTGTACGAAAGTGAGTATCGCGACAGTGACTCCCGTAGGCGATTTGATTGCTTATTCTAAGGACAACCAAGATGTATACCTCTCGTCTATTCTGGCCTAATTGTAAATGTCCGAAGAAACGACGATTAGTCAGTGTAACTTCGCGGGCATTAAGCTGTATAAGCCTGCGTTCAGCATGTTGTCTAACATCGAATCCTGTTGAGCAACTGTTCCATTGAAAGAAGACTAAGACATACCTAACAATATTCATGATAAGTCCATTCATTCTCTGTCTCTCTCCCCTATATACCCTTATCGTGGGTCGCAGATTGCTTGACAGTGGTCGCGTTTTCAATCATTTCATCAATCCCTTCGATATATGACAATCGGGGCAACTTTGTATCCTTTTCAGCGAGTGAACCCACCAATTTCCTATCAAACAGACGGTGCGGAAGATATTTGACCTGCGATTTTATCCCCTTCTCAAACCCATAGGTACAAAGCGCTCCCAGGTTTGTTGGGAGATGATCTACAATAGCAAGTGATGCACCATCAGTCTGATCAGCGCCGATTCTCGCTATAGGTGATAGAGGGTATGGATTCTAGACTCAGATTCGTCGGGTTCGTGAGTCCACGGAGAGAGCAAGACGATGAGTTGACCACCATGCTCCAGCTGAAGCTTTTGGGATTCACCTGCGCACTACTGCTGATAGGCAAGCTAGGATCTCGACGATAGATCGTCCATGTTGCCAAGGAAATAATTACCAAGAGTAGGGTTGGATGTCTCCGCCAGTGAGGTTTCCGCTTCGACATTCAAATCCAGATGTGAGGACAAATCAGCATGCAAGAGAAGCGCCTAGAAGATGTGATCCGGGTAGGGCGTCTTTAAAATGCCATCTATCAAGCCTCAGCCACCGACTGCATGCATAACCTACTCCAGTCGTTTAGATGACTCAATGGCCTGCATCATATGGTAGATGTTGGAGGAAAGTGTCTCTTGGCTCTTAACTCGGCGCAATGGACGATCCTTATCAATCTGTTTGGGAAACTTGAGGACGACCAGAAGCTCTTTGCTTTGCGAGGTTTTCGCATTAGGGTACCAACCAGACGGCAAAAATCGCGGGACATAATGATTAACAGATCCGCTGACAACGCAGATATGAAGATCTGCACATTTTGCTAGAGAACGTGACTTTTTTGATTCTTACACGTATAGACTCCATTTTTCGCCTTTATTCAAAGGTAAATTCTTGTTTTAAATGAATAGATAGTGAATTGATACCAAGATATATAAATCACAAATCAAAACGCGAAAAAAAACGCCAGAAAATGCGCGATTTAGAGATTTCTTAGATCATAGGGACTTACTTAGAAAACGGTCGTGCTCCCACTCGGAAATATAAATCTGATGTAAAAGTATATATGAATCTTTTTTCCACCTCCACTGGTTGGTTTTCATTAAAATCAGAGCATACACTTAGATAGTAATAAAATTCCAAATTCTCAATTAAGGTCCTTACCATTAGTAGAAAGATATCCAGTTGAACCCCATAGGAGCCTTATAGGCCTCCACAAATAGGCTTTGCGATTCACTACTTCAAATTGGGCTCATTCAGACCATGTTTCGCAATCAGACTGTTCCGTGTATATAGCATCAGCTGTTGTGATTGGGCTTGTTACAAATTCTTGATTGGAACAATGCTGCCATTTATACGTATTTTTTTTTTTTTGCAGAAAAGATGGCCGAGTTCCCAACTTCTCAAAGCTTTATATTGGTCTAGCTTAGTTGGTACAATACGCAGGTGATCTGGCACCTAGAGGTACTCTTCATCGGGTCTGGTGGAACCGACTCATTGACCAACTGACCTACCATTTGTGACTGGTTCTAGATACTCGACATTTGGGGTCAGCCATATTTTCAAGATTAACACCCCAGCAGCTTTACAGTTCCTCAACGGCAATTTACAATGGGCCTAATGTAGTTATATTATGTTCGTTATGGCGAGAACCGAGATGTTGGTTTTGCTGGTGAGCCTGAGATGGGATCAATACTTGACCAGGAAGGAAAAGCCAGAGGTCGAGTTCGAATGACATAATGATCCAGTCCACCGGGATTTTCCTCAACCAAGCAAGAATTCCCTTTTGCCTCAAAGCTTTGTTATTCCGGTTTTCTATCACACCATTTTTCAAGTTCAGACCTGATTGGAAGATCAACTGGACCTCGGGGCTCACCGTAAGCCCCGCCCGTATAGAACGCGGGGAAGAAACGTGGAGCATCCAAGCCCAAAACGACAAAAGACTTCGTCATAAGCTTAGGCGGAGGCAGGCTGAACGACTCGCCAATCCAGAAGGGGGGATCGTCGCGCCAAGCCAGACTCGAAGGGTCAGGGCGGTCTTTCTTACTCTTAAATTAAAAACTGATACAACCTTAAGCTACCACGTCAGAGACAGCAGGGTGGTGCGACATTCATCCGTGATAGGTGAGTGAATGATATATCGTTTTCCGTGGCCAGACAGACCTATTTATCAAATATCCCGCTCAAGGTGGAGACGCTGGTGTGCCATGCAATCCGGATGCAAGGGATTCGATAGAAACGCGATCCTTGCTCGTAGTAATGCGAGATCAAACCATTCCAGTAAACATGACTTCATTCTTAGACTTGGCCTGGACATACAGATGAGCTGCATATCTCGGCCAACGGATGAGACAGCAAGCAATACTACTTCCCTGGCACGTGTAATGCATGTATCTGGTCAAGGGAGCTCGGCTATCGCCCGTGTTTGTGCGATCAGCGTTCAGTTCTCGCGGTATTGGCCAGAGCAATCGGAACAGGCCGAACATTCCGTCGCGTGAGCAAATGCCCAGCCAAGTTAGGATCATTATTTTGCTGGCGAGCAATGCTCCACGGAATACCCACCACTGCCGTGATTTGTCACTCCCTAGAGAAGGGACACAGGAGTTTGGGGGTGAAGGCCTCGTGTCGGCTGTGTTCGGATAATGTTGGTTTATCTAGTGAATCTACAGCTTGAAAGCCAGTACAACATAGCAGACAGCTCACCGTCTGTGACGGGTTATTTGTTTACTATGTGCACATCGACATCATAGCTGCCTGCTCCTGACTGCTGTACTTGACTCCTGCGCTGTCAATAACGCCAAGCAATGACTAATTCTCCCTGCGATCAGACACCGACATGCTCGCTGTCCCTAGTGAATCTGAATTTCTGGGCATCTTGTGTACTTCCTGCGGGGTTAGCCCTTGTGGAGACCGTCTCTGCCAAGTGGGCATGTTGGATGCAGGGAAGCACCGTGCCATGAGTCTGTTAGTCCGGTGTACGCAGGGTGCGATGTATTTAAATCCAGGGACCGGCCCAATCATACTCAGAATGTGATATTTTATTCCGAAAATCTTTGGTGATATCGCTGTGGTGTGCGTATACTTCTGTCGAAGATCTGAGTACACATCCGATCATCATGCATTTGGCTCGGAGCTTTGTCTTGTCGTGCCTAGTGGCAGCTGGTCTAGCTTTGCCTAGTAAGGAAAGTACTAAGCACCAGGAAAATAAGGCTCGCAGTGCGGGTTACTCTCTTAAGGAGCCTCCCTTGACAACACCATGGACTGATAAAGTCGGAACGAAGCCATGGCCCGAATATCCGCGGCCATTGCTGCAGCGCTCTGAATGGAAGAATCTCAACGGGGTATGGAAGTACCAAAGTGCTCCGAGCCTCGATGCTGTTCAGCAGCCACCTTTTGGACAGGAACTTGCGCAGGATGTCCTGATCCCGTCGTGTCTTGAAAGTGGATTATCCGGTGGGTATTGACTTGCTTGCCACGTTATCAACATAATTGACAGATATTCGCAGGGATCCAAACCGACTCGGCTCTGTACTCTTGGTTCTCAACATCATTTGAAGTATCCTCTTCCTGGAAGGGTGAGCAGGTACTGCTCAATTTTGGAGCTGTAGACTATGAAGCCACAGTCTTTGTCAACGGCAAAAAGGCAGGCTTCCACCGTGGCGGATACTTCCGCTTCGCCGTGGATGTGACGCAGTACCTGAAGTTTGATCAGCAGAATGAGCTGTGAGTATCTAGCGATCTCAACGCAGTCGACTTCCATATCTGACTTCTGATACAGTCTTGTCTTTGTACATGATCCTACTGACGATGGGGACTATGTCATCCCCATTGGAAAGCAGACTTTGAGACCTAGTCACATCTTTTATACCCCATGCAGTGGTATATGGCAAACTGTTTGGCTCGAGGCTTCACCAGCCAACTACATTACTCAGCTCGACCTTAACGCAAACATGGATGGCCAAGGTAAGTGAGAGGTGACACTCTGGGGAAAACTTTGATTCTGACTGCAAGTAGTCAACATCACTGTACATAGCTCCGCCACGGATGAACAGGCCCAGGCTGAGGTAATTGTCCACAAAGATGGCAAGACCGTTGCAAAGCATAAAGGCCCCACCAACGAGCCATTCCAATTCACCGTATCCTCGCCCAAACTCTGGTCCCCGAACTCACCTGAGCTGTACGATGTGACTGTCAAACTCGGGAACGACAAAGTGGAGAGCTATACTGGCTTCCGTACAATTTCTAGGGGTAAGATTGACGGGGTTGAGCGACCCTTGCTCAATGGAGAATTCATCTTCATGTTCGGAACCTTGGATCAAGGTTATTGGCCCGATGGTTTATACACACCACCCAGTAAAGAGGCGATGGTGTACGATTTGAAGATGCTAAAGAAGTTGGGCTTTAACATGGTCCGCAAGCATGTGAGTGCTGCCACGTTGGTTTCAAATACCATGATCTCCGTTGCTCACACTGGAATTTAGATCAAAGTCGAGACCGATTTGTTCTATCAAGCATGCGACGAACTCGGCCTGCTTGTGATTCAGGACATGCCTTCCCTACGTCCATCGCAGTCCAAAAGGGGACCAGATGGCAACTCCTATACTATCCTACCGGACGAGAAGCAACAAGTCGAATTCGCTCGGCAGTTAGATCTGTTGATTAATCAGCTCAAAAGCTTCCCCAGTATTGCAACTTGGGTAAATTCATGTTTTCGGTGAAAGCCAGGATCATGCTATCGCTAACCACCATCTATAGGTCATTTACAACGAAGCCTGGGGCCAAATCACAGACTATTATCCCGAGTTTGAATTGACCGACAGGGTTAGGCAGCTGGACCCCACTCGGCTTGTGGACTCGACGACTGGTTGGGACGACCACGGCGCTGGCGACTTTAGTGTATGCATCCTTCCCTGGCAGCTCAGCCACGTGGCTAACCAAGATCTAACAGGACAACCACCACTACGCAAACCCACAATGTGGCACTCCCTTCTATTCCTTACGCTCGAGCCCATATGATCCTAGCCGGATTGGGTTCCAAGGTGAATTTGGCGGCATTGGAACTAATGTCTCGATTGAGCATCTCTGGAACAACCAAGCAGCCATCGATACTATCGACCAAACATACGAGATCGACGAAACCATCGAGGCATGGAACTATCGTAGTCATCTTCTTTTGAACGAACTCGAGGATCAGGTCCGCATGTACGCATGCAGTGGGGGCGTTTGGACGCAGACAACCGACGTTGAGGGTGAGGTCAACGGCCTGATTACCTATGATCGTCGCTTGGCGCGAGTCGACGTGAAACAGTGGCAGGCAGATATTAAGGCCCTCTATGATGCTGCCGCCGCACGGAGCGAAGTGGATTGAAAAGCTTGCTGTACAGCCTAGGCCATCCGAGGTTATCCGGATGAATGTGATGGAGATGGAGTATATAATCTTATTGTGGCTCCTGTTCCCCAAATGGAAACCTGTCATATCAATAATAAAGGATCATGACCATTACAACGCCCTAGAGCTCACGATCGGCAATCTACGACACGTATTCGTCACTTTCTTCAACCCGCCTGTTTCATCTTGACTGGTCGATCATACTTCTGACAGCTGTCACCAAATCTCCCCAGAAAAAGAAATTAGACTGACTCACAGAACCATGGAATCAAGCCGTTAGAATCATGGTAGGCGGCAGTCTGATGAATCAACCTTCCAAGATAGGCCAAGACTCCTGTTCTAGACCTAAACAGTCGGAAGAATCGTCACCAAGGCGGCAGTGATCGTCTACCGCGTTTGTTTTTGAAACGTCCCAGATTGAACAGAAATTAAAAAAAAGGGAAAGCAAGGGAAATCAAGGGAAATGCTCTACTCTTTTCGAAGAATAAAAAGAAAGATCCAAGCTCGCGGGATATGGACTCCAACTTTTACCCCTTTCGCTTGAGTGAAATTTTTTTTCATGGAGTTATGTATTTTAATCGACTGATCATGCCATACCGATCTAGCCCATCATGCCATGCCCATCACACGATGCGTATGGAGGAGCTCCGTAGATTTAATAGATTTATGCGGGTAGATGGCCCATCGTGAATGGTTCTCCAATTTAGCGTTGCTTAACATGCATGTGTTTCCTAATTTTTCTACGCCATCGCTCGTTAGCTCCGATTGCCCCCTATTGCACATTGCAAATTGGGTATTCCTTCAGACCCACACATCCACCTCTTTTCTAGAAGCATCAACTTATTCAGGGGGCGTCCGTGTTTCTTTTGGAAACTATTGTGTATATAGATACTCAAAGTTCAAGTTAATCTCATGTAGATCTACAAAGTCTGAAGTCTCACTGGCCGATCTACTGATGTATAATACTACCTCCTAAGCTACCCGAATATCATCAGGTCTCAAAGTCGGACCCGAACGGAACCCACTTTGTCGCGGGTCCTCAGCGAAACCGTTGAGCCCGTAGCGGAGTTCCGAGTGTCCCTAGCCAGTGAGCGAGAGCGAGATGCAAATGCCGAATTAATTCAAGGTCAATTAATTAATTTGCTTTGTTGGCACGGGCTATGGTTCACGGAATGAGCATCTAGGATCTTGGTGTTCCATGTCCAGCATCTCAAAAACGCCATCTGATCGTACATAGATTGGGATGACATCGATGAACGGAGGTCTGACAGCCAGCCCACATGCCTGTTGCCTGTTAGTTGCAGCATTCGTCATGTTTCTGGATCGCTTGTTTCGAGATGCCAAGTCTAAGAGGATGCCAACTATGAACGCTACCGTCCTTGGCTTTGATTTTTTTTTTCTTAGCTTGGAGATTGCAAGGATCAGCCCACACCACATGCCTAGATAGTCACTCCACTCTAGGTACTTGACTAAATCATCTCACTCTGTGGTCTGATTCGACCATGGGCACTTTAATTGCTTATCGAAATAAAATAGTTATGAAAAACCTCGGCTTGATATTACTGTGCTTGCGTGGAATTGGGTAAGATCGCTATTCTAGGGAGTAGTCACGGACCAGCTGGTTCTAGGATTGCCTAGAGCGGATTCCGAATAGGGTGTATTTTACAGTTTAGTGGCTTCCAATCTAATCGTGTTGCATTTGAAAATATATGAACGGTGAACGGAGTAATAACGGGTATCGTGCTCCATGGTATAAATACTCGATCCGCCGGCCTTGCCACGAGGTTGCCCCAGTTTTATATTCTCTCTACTCGGTTTCCGATCTCCCTTCCATACTTTTTCCCCCCCTACCCTTTCCAAAAAGACTATCGGTCAGCGACTTCCTACCAAGAGGTATCAACTTTAGAAGCATGGAGTACAGCGCAACATCGGGTGTTGAGCCCATGCATGTCGACCGCAAGCTGCTCTACACAAGCTTGGAAGAGCGAATCAAGTACCTCCATCACTTCCTCGACTTCAACTCAAGTAAGTTCTTACCATAGATCCCTCTCATGAGCCATAGCCACTTACATTTGCTTAGGCGATATCGAAGCACTCTTGACCGGCAACAAATACATCAAGCAACTGATCCCAGCTGTGGTCAACCTCGTCTATAAAAAGCTTCTCCAATACGACATCACATCTCGGGCCTTCCACACACGGACAACAGTCGATGAGACCGAGCTTGAAGAGGACTTTCTCCATGAAGAAACCCCAAAAATCAAGCGACGCAAGATGTTCCTGCGGTGGTACTTGACGCGTTTATGCCAAGACCCGACCACAATGGACTTCTGGCGGTACTTGAACAAGGTTGGGTAAGCTCATATCCCCCTTGCCCGTGCCTGGATTCCCGCTCTTAGGTTAATTCTGCGTGCTTGTGCAACACGCTAACGAGGGGTTTTGTAACACAGCATGATGCACAGTGGACAGGTCCGCATGTCACCGCTTAACATCGAGTACATCCATCTCGGCGCATGCTTGGGGTACATCCAAGACATCTGGATTGAAGCGATGATGTCGCACCCGCACCTGTCGCTGCGACGCAAGATCGCGCTCGTGCGCGCTGTCAACAAGATCCTCTGGATCCAGAACGATCTCTTTGCCCGGTACCACTCGCACGACGGCGACGAGTTCGCGGACGAAATGTCTGACTTTGCCAGCTACGCTGAAGATCAGGAGGGATACCTTGGCAACAAGCGAATCCTTGGCAGCAGCTCCGGTAGCTCAACTGAAGATGATCGGTCCAGTATTTCTAGTGGTGTGGCGCCTTCTATCGACAGTGCTGCGCCGTCGACAATTGGAAATGCGTCAAACTCATCCAAGGTGTCGGTGTGTCCTTTCGCGGAGATGGGCAAAGCCAGTAATTCGACTGAGACAAAGATTTGGGCCAATTGAGGGGCTCCCTGTGTTATTGTGCGGGTCACAGTTTGCATCTTTCAGGCGCTAGGGGTTATAGGTTTTGGTGACGGGGCTGGACTCTGGAAGTTTGGGTTTTTAGGAAATACCTTTGATTGGCATAGACAGTGTTGGAAAGTAATTCAAAAAGAACCTTGAATAAATTGACATCTTGGCCTCTTGGCATCCATCTCATCTTCATCTCGGCGGAATGCTTCCGGCTTTGTCATCTTTTTTTTCTCCCCCACAACATCCGACGGCTCTTATTCAAGGTAGTTGAAGAAGGCTTTAGCATTTTATATCCGCAGCCAAATCGGAGATAATTGAATAATTGTATAGCCCCTTCGGATATAATCGATCTACGCAGGACCTTAATTCAGTAAGACATTGAGCTACAACATCAGACTCTACCACCCCCTTTGTGTCCCCACCACCCCTCCGCCACTCTATTTGGTTAAGATCAGAGGACCAGAGTTTCTCTTAAACCAACTCGACCCCGTCCAAATAGACTTGTCCTTCTCCGTGTTAAAGATACCCGTATTATGCTTATTCAACTCGAATCGAAGGGGGTGACCCCGCTAATGATCAACAATGAGTCCGTTGAGACCGATATCAAATTCGCGGTTCACGCCCCCGCCACTGGCGAGCTGAGTGGTTATTGTGCCGGAGTGTCGGTTGATGATGCCAATCACGCAGTTGACGCGGCCCAGGCTGCCTTCCCCGCATGGAGCAAGACCAAGGCAAACGACCGCCGCGACATCTTGCTGAAGGCCGCCGACATCATGGCCTCGCGCAAAGAGGAATTGATCCAGTACCAGCGCGAGGAGACCGGTGCCGGTCGACCTTTCTCAGAGTTCACCTTCAACATGGGCGTGCTCTTCATCAAGGACTTCGCAGCCCGGATATCCTCGATCGAGGGTGTCGTGCCGAATGTCAGCGGGGAGGGCGCAGGAGCCATCGTATACAAGGAGCCGTACGGAGTAATTCTCTCAATTGCGCCATGGTAAGCTTCATGATCCGATATGTGACATATACTGCAATCTATCAGCTTGCATGAGACCCTTTTTCTAATTGATTGGCAGGAATGCCCCTTTCATTCTGGGTACACGCGCTGTTGCGCTCCCTCTTGCGGCTGGAAACACCGTCGTTCTTAAGGGCTCCGAGCTCTCGCCCAAATGTTTCTGGGCTCTGGGCGATATCTTCCGTCAGGCTGGTCTTCCTGCCGGGTGTCTGAATGTCATTTTCCACCAGCCCTCCGACGCCCCGGCCGTCACCAATGCCCTGATCGCCCACAAGGCTGTGCGTAAGGTCAACTTCACCGGTAGCACATTAGTCGGCTCGATTATTGCTTCTACTGCAGGTAAACACATCAAGCCTGTGCTGCTCGAGCTGGGCGGCAAGGCGTCTGCGATTGTCTTGGACGATGCGGACTTGGACAAGGCTGCCATGAACTGTGCCATTGGATCCTTCATGCACGTATGTAGTGATTCAATCGAGACAAGGGATATCACTTACTAACAAACGATACACAGTCCGGTCAAATTTGCATGTCGACCGAGCGGATTGTCGTGCAGCGTTCGATCGCAGATGAATTCCGGCAAAAGTTTGCCGAGACAACTGAGAAGTTGTTCGGCAAGGATGCGCCCGCGCTGGTCCTGGTCAACAGTGCGGCCGTCGCTAAGAACAAGAAGCTTGTAGCGGATGCTGTGTCTCGCGGGGCCAAGCTGCTGTTTGGCGACGCCGATGCGAGCGAGTCGATTAACACGGGCATGCGGCCGATCGTCGTTGATGGCGTCACCAAGGAGATGGACATGTACGCGACCGAGTCGTTTGGCCCGACCGTGTCTTTCATGGTGGTGGATACCGAGGACGAGGCTATTGCACTAGCCAATGACACCGAATACGGCCTGACTGCGGCTCTGTACACCAACAACCTGTTCCGCGGTCTGCGGGTGGCCAAGCAAATTGACTCTGGGTAGGTTTTTTGAGTTCCGGATACAGGTGGAGATTGGCGGCTGACATGTTTTTTCTTTCTTTCTAGTGCCGTGCACATCAATTCTATGACGGTACACGATGAGACTGTCCTCCCTCACGGAGGATGGAAGAGTAGCGGCTTTGGTCGCTTCGGAGGAATTTCTGGATACGACGAATTCCTCCAGACTAAGACTGTTACTTGGCAGGAATAGAGGTGACTGGTCTCTCACAGGTACATGTTGAACCAAGAGTAGATTGGTGTTTACTCTGTAGGTATATGACAGACTTGTTGAGTTGGCCCCGTATGGGTCCTCCTGGCCCCCGGCGGCATTGGGCCGCCACGGGCGACGGTTTCCCTTGTTGTATTGACAGGGGTCTGGACTTGTTTGGAGCCTAGTTTGGGGCTTAGTCGGCTTTGGTCCAAACCTTGCAGTCAATTCAACCAATGGCGGCGCCTTCGGGCTTCGCCTAGAGGTGTGCTACAAGGATGCGGTCCGGATACCCGGCTTATACTCCGTACGGTACCCCGTATAGACGAGTTGAATGACTTGCGGGGAATCCATGTGATGTGTGATTTGTGTTGCATCGGGCTTACAGCGTAGTATGTATATGGCTACACGGGATAATTTGGTGTTTATGATTTTTTTTTTCATTTATTTTTTTCGGTACGGAGCCTCCGTTGGTCTGGGTCGCTTTGGCCATGAGGCTGAAGGTCATGTGATCTAACTCAATTTCTCAGATGAAAATTTAAAATACCGATTCGTCACAAATACGGAGTAAAGGGCCTGAATCCAGGCTTGACCTCTCACGGACTTTGTGGAAAGGAGAGATTGTACTCCGTGACTCCTGTAAGCACTTCTTAGCCCCAGGGCTCAAGTACCATGATGCCTGAGGCTCGATCGGGCTTAACGAAAGTAAGACCGGTGCTATCCACAAAGCCATGTTGGCAGAAAACTTGGGCTCGCGCCTCCCCCGACCAGCACAAGGCGCAATTCGAAAACATACTCCAGACGGTTGCACGATCAAAGAAAACTTATCTAGCGTGCCTAAAGTATGTCAAACCCCGAGGTAATCCGGGGGTTTCGTTTTCCACAGCTACTCTTCAAGTGAGCTTCGTTTGTTTGCTGCCAGACAAACAAGTGGGCGGTCGTGGGGCTGTGATTGACCGGAGGAAGCTTTTCTCTACGCCGTATATTTGTAGGTAGTGTCGAATACCAAATCCCAATACTTGATTTATTACCAAAAAATTTACCGAAACGAAGTCTAGTTCCAATGCAGCCTCAAGACCCGATAAAGAAACATCACTCCAATAGTGGCGGCGAAGGCGCTGACCACAAGTCCCACCCTAAATTCAGGCACCGAGCTGTAACAAATCACGCAAACTGCCGGGTGAGACAAAACCCATTATTTATTTTGGATTTTTATTTCTCATTCTTACATGTCTTACTTCTACACCGTAAGAAATAAGCGATTACACCGTGCAAACAACGTAGGCCACTATGATACTATGATATATATCGTATTCCACATATGCAGGTGAACATTGACCCCCCTGAATCACAGGCTGTTGATCCTTTCCACAGAGAACACAATCCCCGACGAACCAGTGGGATCGGCGAGTTTGATACTGCCCTATGGCCACAGACCTCTGTGGATCTAGGTGGTGATAGTCGCGATATGTCATGAATATCACTGAATATCAAAATCTACCCCCTGCAGGTTAGGTTTGAAATCCTGTTTAGCCGTGGAAAGACACATGGTATGTACCTGCATGGCCCAACGCCCTGTGCTTCAGTACAATACAGCGTATGACGCCCGTTACAGGACCTGAGTTTGAGGGGCGCTCGTAATCTCGCAATCTCCCAGATTCGTAAAGGATCTTCCTGTTACAATGTAGACGCGAGTGGCGTAAATGAGGAAATCAATGGCTTGAGTGATATACTAAATATATCTACTCCGTACTCCGTACATTATTCAGAGAATACCTCCATCTATACTTGGAATAGCCGAGATATTCCATTGAGGCTACCATTGGTATGGTATGTACCATGGATAAACCTCGGATGAACTTTCGGGGGCCAAGGGTTCCACGGGTCCACGATGTTGAGGGTCATCTTGGAAGGCTTAAGAGAAACCTTGTAAATCTCAACTTTTGCCTCTATAACATAAGCATTGAATATGACATACCTCAGTATTGGATTGACGAAATTTTCGCCTTTGGCCCCCGGTAATTGACCTAATCTTATTTGGGACATTCTCTACATTAAAAGGGTCAAGCCGTTATTAGGAATCAAATTAACTTCCGGATCACCCACCAATTAGAACCGGTGCCTGGTCATTATGATTATTACCTGGTAACACAAAGCCTGGCATTATATTACAATAACATCGGAGCCACAGCCGACCCGCATGCCCCACGAGGACAAGATCAGAACTATCCGACAACAGTTGAACAGTATAATTCGTAAAGAGTATCCGGTACTTACAACGTATTGCAGGGATCAAGTCAAAGCCACGATTAGTTTAAATTTCAGAAAAGTAAAAAGTAGCCGAGGAAATGAAAATGAGTTGTGGTTGGTCTGCGCGTTTGGTCTGTTGACTTAGTCTAGTCCAGACCCACCTTGGAGGTACCAACATCCTTGAAGTGTACTTTGCCTCGCCCTTCTTCTTCTCTTTATTATTCCTCTCATTTCAGTTCACTCTCTACATTCTTTTTTTTTTCGTTTTTCAACGATAGCCATTCTTTATTTTTCCCACTCCAGTCATTCGTTGTCAATCTCGACATAAAATCAACATGCGTTTCTCCATCCCCACCGTCTTCTCCGCCCTCGTGGCTCTGGCTGCTGCTGCCACCACTCCTGACTACACCAAGGACCCCTCCGGCAACGCCATCATCTATCCTGGTCTGAACGAGATCGTGCCCGAGGGTAAGGTCTACACCATCAAGTGGGAGCCTACCACCGTCGGCCCCATCTCTCTGATCCTCCTGCGCGGTCCTACCGAGAACGTCCAGCCCCTCAAGACTCTCGCTGAGTCCATCCCCAACAGCGGCGAGTTCAAGTGGACCCCTGGTTCTGATCTTGAGGCCGACGTCACCCACTACGGTCTGCTCCTTGTTGTCGAGGGTACCGGCCAGTACCAGTACTCCACCCAGTTCGGTATCTCCGCAGCTCCTGGCTCCGGTTCCGCTTCCAGCTCCACCACCAAGGCTACCGCGACCTCCACCTCTGAGGCTACTGCTCCTACCTCGTCCACCGTCATTGAGAGCACCGTGATCACCACCACCATCTGCCCTGAGACCGAGACCACTGCTGCTGCCACCACCACCTCCGCTCCTCAGTTCACCAAGACCGGTGTCTCCCCCGTCGGCCCTCCCACCAGCCGTCCCTGGACTTCCATCCCTCTCACCACCAGCGTCGCTCCCACCAGCACCACCTCCGCTACTCCTTCGGCTTCCTCCCCTGTCTTCAACGGCGCGGGTCGCAACGCCATCAGCGTCGGTGCCGTCATGGCCGGTGTTGTCGCTGCTTTCGCCCTTTAAGCGCATTTCATTTGGAATCGCGTGCCGATCGCACTTTCTTTCTACTGCAAGCCGAAAATAATGTTTCGTTGTTTTCGTGAGGCTTAATTCTTTTATCAATATCTTGATATGGGCCTCCTGGATTCTGTCTCTCGGCCGAGTTTATGTATCTCATACCATGTTTTTCTTCTTATGTGCTATATTTCCCGCATCTCTATCAGCCATGCTTGTGTAATGTGAAGTTCATGTCCTTATGTTTCTTCCTACCTCGTAGTTTGCTTGATCTGGGGGCATAGACCAAGATTTCACTCGTGTAGACTCGTAAATATCTATAGCTATAGTGGAGGCAACAGTGAGAATATCAAGTATGCTGTGGTTCAAGTATTCTGTTCCGGCACTTGTGCGTCAGTGAATTTGATACGGCCACACCTCCGGGCCAGTACCATCTACTTGTGGAAAAAAGATAGTGTCATCGGTAAACTAATCTGTGTAGCTTCATAAAGCCACAGAGAAAGTCGAGGCGAAGAGAGGTCTGACAAACACTACTTCAGCAAACACCCAAGCAGCAGTCATCCAGGTGGGCAAACGCCTACGACTCAGTAGAACAAGTGGCAAACAAAATGCAAATTGATTGCACTTGCAGATGCGATATATTTGTCATTTTATCCTACAGCTTACATTTGGGGCAAATCTACACCGTATACCAGTCAAATACTTTACCGTGGATGACAGCTCAAGAGCCCTGAAGTAGATGGGCGCTTACGCGGCCTTGTGATATCTCACAGAGCTCCCAAGTAGTCTTTTCAAGTGGGCTGTTCAGTGGGCTTGTCAATTATTCTTCCCCATTAAGTTCAGGATCCCCTCTCATAGTCTTACAGGCAGACAGCAGAAAAGAGCGGGAAAAGCATACTTCGTGTACGAGACTTTTCTATGTATGACTTTTGATCTAAATAGACTATCTGATAGGGGACTTTTTAGCTTCTCATTGGACTGATATGTGTCTTCATCCAAGCACCTCTAGGCTATATTGATGCGCCATCATGTTTAGCCACACAATAGATCGTGACTGAATGCCACCTCCAATTCCATGAGCAGATGATTCAAAAGACTAGAGATGAACCCAATGTCGTCCATCGTATATTGTTAGCCCATCAATTCCTTTGAAACCGTGTATTGCTAGCCTATTGATTGTCGAGTTGATCTCTGAGCATTTGTAACAGTTAATCTAACTAGTAATGTAGGGGTAAGCACCTAAACGGAAAGCAGAGCCATCTGGATCGGCCTCAAGCTCGGTGTGTTTGTATCTCGATTGCATTCATATTCCATTCTACGCTAAAAGAGATACTTTTAATTCTATCAAGTTGTGATCAAACCCAAGAGATGCCCACGAGCATTTTGGGCCTGCGAAAGAACAATCTCAGCCGCAGGATAAGTTTGTAGTAAATGTCCAGCCGCTTCCTCACAAGCATACAAGTTCGACATGGCCTGCATCCTCACAATATCATCCGAAACCTTCAGATCAGGAAGGCTTGCCTCGAGAATGATAACCAGTATAGTAACGGTGCTTCCAGGGAGAAAATGAAGCATCCTGCAGTCATGCAGCTCATTGAGAGTCTCATTGACTTGCAAAGCCAAGCTTCTCATTTCCGAGTTGATAGTAGTCTCGAGATTTTCCCCTCCGCTCGACGCGGCCTGGAAGAGTATGGACATTGCAGTGAGATGGAGGAGATACAGGAAAGCTTGGTGGACAAGGAGGATCATCTCTGGAGACTCTGTATGGCAATGGTGCAAGAGTGACGGGGAGTAATAATGTGCCGGAGCAGGAAGATTCTCAATCCAGACTTTCAGAAGCTGCTCGCATTCCGTTATGGTGGCCTGTGATATCTTTGACTTGGGTACCATGGAGTATTCACAATCTCCCGACGGTGACGGTGACCAAGCATCTTGGTAGAGAAGACTGATGATGACGCCCACACAGTGAGCAAGCTTGATCTCCTGAATAAACAGAAGCATCATTCGCTCTTGGTTTTCCCAGTTGAGCATAGCTGATGCTTCTCCCAGCATCACTAGCACGAGGTCATGGTATGGCTCGGAGGAATAGTATCTCGTAGCTTCCAGTAGTGACATTGTGACATCACTGTTTGGGATTCGTAATGGTCGCCGAAAGCCGAGGGAGAGAACGCGGTCGCGCACATAGAGACACCACCACAATCTGTGCTTATGAGAAAAACTACCTGTTTCTAAACTTCCAAGGAGACCGACACGCTCTGCTGTCGAATAGGCGAGATCGAACCAGTATGTTGGGACTTTGTGGCCGTCTCCACTTCCATGCCACTGCATCATGAGTAGCAAAGCTTGGATCTGGGTGTATGCGTTGGGCTCGGTCTCGAATTCATAAAGAAGCTGATGATGGGATCAAAATTAGTTTCGGCTTCTCATGGATTCTGTCTGCGGGTATCTCACCTTAGCTCGACCAAATAACGTTCTTCGCAATGCTTTCCGTGACGAGAATCCAGCTTTGACGGCAGTTTCCTGCTCAATAAATGCACTTCCAGCCAACATGACAGCTTGATGAAGAAGCGGGCTTGGAAATTGGGATTCATCCTCGACCATGACATTGAATAAAAACCATTGCAGATCAATGACCGGTAGCAGAGGATGGACATATTTGATATAAGCCCCGAGCAACTGATTCCGAAGTTCGATAGGAACTATTCTGAGAGCTCCTTTCAAATGAAGATATTCTTTACTTTCTTCAGAGACATTCGGAAGCCGGGCCTGGAAAGTTCGCTGCAGTTCAAGTGACTGACTGTAGTCTCCTAGAATAACATCCGGGATCTGTGGCGAGAGTAGCTCATTTATCGTCAAAAGGTAACTGTCTAAGGGATATGTCTGGGGTACATTGCGGGTCAGGGTCATATGTGGTTGGCCAGATATCGGCTTCCTCCCTGATGCGATGTACTGCGCAAAGGGATCTAACAGTGTCAGTGACGATGGTCAGAGGAGGGAAGCAAGCTTGGCACATGTGTCATACCTAGACTATCCCCGCCTTGTTCTAACCGATCTACATCCTCGGCATTGAAGGCCTCGAGAAGCGTAAGAGAAGACGGCAGATCCATCGGCACGGACTCCGGTTCCTTGATCTGCTGCTAAAGGGATTAGCGTTAGGGCAACATCCACAGGCAATTTGCTCTTGGAACTTGGGGTAATTACCTTGATTCTTGTAGGCACCACCAGTGAGAACACTCGACCGGCTGCCACAGACTCGTGAACTGAGAATAATTTCACACAAAGCTTTGACTGACACACTCTGAACGTCGTTGGGTTACTTGTTACAGTGTTCTAGGTGTGGCGCGAATTGTAGCTATTCTGGAGGATTGTCCTTCATATGAAGCCCAGGGAACACGAGAAAAATCCGCGTCATCCATGGGGAAAGTCGGGGCCCCGCATTTTTGAGGATCCGAGCGAGTCTTTGATGATAATTGACGATCATTGGTTCTTCCGAGTCCCGATTTTCCAGTCTGGACCTCTTGAAATGCTTAGAAATCGCGGTGAAAAGACGACCCTCTTCCACCGGACACAGGTGACCATTTAGGAACTTCGACCGGAACTTGCGGAGCCAATCACATTGTTCGAGATGATCTCCATCAACCCAGAAACTTCATTTTTCGTCAAATACTCCACAGGTCAAAGCTATCTACGGCGTACAAGCTATGTACATCAAAGAGTCCATCCAATTCACCATCTACCATCTACCAAGGCAACCGACCATCCTTGTTGATAAACCCACCAGCATCCCCATCCCTCTCCCCAAGCACAATCCCCAAAATCCCTCTACCAGCCTCCAATGGATCCCCAGCAGCTCCATACGCACTAACAGAAGCCTCATCCTCTCCCCTCAGATTCGATCTCACAAGACCAGGACAGAAGGCAAAAACCCGCACGCCACGACCCTGCAACTTCTTATGCAGCTGGACAGTCATCATGTTCAACGCCGCCTTGCTCGTGCGGTAGTCATCATGAGGCACAGTATAATGTGCACATGTGGGATCATTTGCCAGACTCAGAGAGCCCAGACCACTGGATATCTGGATCAGATAAGGTCTTTCTGATTTCAGGAGGAGGGGAGTGAAGGCCTCTGCGACCATAGATGCGCCAATTACGTTGGTCGAGAAGATCACGTTCAGCTTGGCGCGGCCGCTGCTGTTCGGTGCGGCAGAGCCGGCGTTGTTGACTAGGACGTCAAGTCGATTGAATTGTTCGTTTACGGTGTCGACCGCTTTCGATATGGAAGTGTCGTCTTCCACGTTCAGCTGGATCAGGGATAGAGTTCCCTTGAGACCTTTGCTTTGGAGTTCCGTGAGGGCTTTTTCGCCTTTCTGGAGGTCACGACAGGTCATGATCACATGGTGATTTGGGTGTGCAGCTAGGGTTTGGGCGGTTGCGTAGCCCACTCCTGAATTCGCACCTGGATAAAGTTAGGTTCTGGAACTGGGGTGTAGCTGTTTGTTGGTGGCCTACCTGTAATGAGAATGACGGTTGGTTGAGACATGTCGTGGTTGCTTTGGTCTGGGGGGAAGGGCTGGCAAAGAGATTGGGTCGAGTCAGGGATGCTCTCCCTTTACTGTGAGATCGCAGCCTTTGAATTACTATACACTATATCCGTCTCAGCCGCTCTCTGGCATAACTATGTATAGAGGATATACTCCATGTCGGATGTAAACCCCCTATCTCCGTGAGGTTGTCGGTGTTAAGCCGGAGACCGAGAACCGCTCATCCTACTTCAAGTATAACAAGACTATAGAGACATTTATGATGTCATTTGAGCTCTGTGGTACCTTGCCCTGCATCACTGGGTCTATCAGAAGTCGACCAATCACTTCTAATGACTGTATGTCTCAGAGTTACATTGCATGCTAAGCTTTTCATTCGGACGTCGGGATCCGAGTGTTGTTTCACGGATAGAGCCGCATGATATTCAGGGGTTTAGGCAGCAATTACGTGAATGAGGTGTAAAAGCCGTCATATTGGGCATTGGATTTCTGTTCGAAATATTTTTTATATTTTCCAAATTCAAAGCAAGCATGATGACTTAATACATCGCCAATGGAGGTATCATCGCTGTGCAATCCATACACAAAAAGAGCGAAAAAAAGAATCAAAGAGAGACAAGATGCGAAGACGAAGGCTAATATGATGACAGTGAGGACAGAAAAGTATAGATTACACTTTTGCAGAACCACTGACGAGTCTTTAGAGATCAAAAAGAAACGCAGATCGATAGTTATACACACCCAGCCTAAAGGAAGCGGCAAATTTTGAGCCACATCTCTATAGGAGTATAGACTAACTGCGAGCGGCCATGCCAGTGACCGCTTGTTTGTCTCTGGTAGCAGCAGCATACACAAGAGAGGGAGGGATTAAGAGCATAAAGGAAAGGGGGAGAAATGACAAGAAAGAACGAAAAGGATAATTTGCTTTTGATGCAGCCAGAAAGCATGCGTCAAGGACGTGACCACGGTCCTTGCATTGGAGGCAGTGGGCCACCAGTAACGGGGGGTGACCCAGAAGGGGGACCAGCAATCGCCCGTCCGGCGGGTGCCACGGATGTAGAAGAATACGGTGGACTTGCAGGCCAACCAGGCTGGGACTGAACGGAGTCGAGAATTCTTCCCTGTGGAGTAGGACCCGCCGAGGTCGGCTGCGTGCCTGAAGCAGATCGGGCAGCATCGGCGCCCGACCACGCCGTGGTGCCCGGCTCGGATGCGGGGAGGAGTGTGGGTTGGGTGGAGCGTGGAGATGAGGGTCTTGGAGGTAAGGTGCTGAGGGACATGGTGCGGCCGAGACGGTCGCGATAGAAATCTCGCTCGGAGCGATAGTGGTCTCGTTGCTGGATGAGGGAGCGGAGCTCCTCGCTCTGGCGGCGGACTGTTTCTACGCCGCGCTGGATCTCATCCTGCTGTGCAGTGAGACGTTGCTCGAGCTGCATCTCATTGCGCTTCCGATTTCGGAACCGGCGGGATGCATCGCTGTTGGCTTTGCGCTTTTCGGCTTGGCTGGAGGAGCCGGATCGCATGTCTAGTACGCACGGTATCATGCCCAGTGGGAGGGGGCTGGCCTGTGGTGTTCCGGCTCTTGAGGGGGCTTCCGATTGGTGTCTGGGGGCTTTCGTTGTGGGGATGGGTCGGGTCAGAGGGTCCATTGTCATATATGGAGGCGCGGTGGGATATGCAATGCTTTGTGCGAGAGAAACACTGGTCACTGCTGGAGATACACGACCAAAGGGATTGAAAGTTGAATGAGACGTGCTCGGACTTGTTTCTTGGGAGTTCGATTTGGTGAGAGGCCCCGGGCCGGCACTGGTTCGCCGAGAATGAAGCGAAGTCAGAGGCTGAGTACCAGTGATAGATGCTATTGGGCGTAGACCCGTCTCTATAGGCAAAGGCGAACTGGTAACGGGTAGGCGTGAACCCATCAAAGTCTCGTGAGGCACTAGCGGTGACTGTGCAACACTTGACTGACCAGAAGTCCTGCCGCCTCCGCCAACAAACCGTGCCGAAGGCGATGCTGGATTCATCAACGGCCGTGAATGGGACCTAGGAGACAATGGCTGCGAGACCAATGGATATCCTGCGCGGATCGGTGAAGTCCCTTGGGGGCGAGGTGAGGAAGATGGACCCGGTAGGCTCAACGGCTCCCGACTGAGTGCGGTCAGATCAGCCGCTGCCTGGGGGTGGTTCAAGATGGCATGGACACCAATGGGTCGCGATGGCATGGATTCCAGCGGTGGCTCCACGGGTCCATATGGATGCCATGACTGGGGTCGTGGTCGTTGAGGTGGGCGGCGGGTCGGATTTCGGGTTGCCAATGCACGGTCATCGCTCACCCCATCTGTCGTCACATCTCTGGACAATGAACCTGCACGTCGAGAATCCTGCGACATAGAAAGCAAATCTCCCACGACGGGACGGGAGTTAGGGCATGACCGAAACCCCCCTCTCCCCTCGTCGCTGTGTTCTCGAGTGTGAGAGAGGGAGGGTGCAGGCGAAGGATAACGATTTGAATAAAGTGACAAATTGGGTGAATGTGAGGAATATGGTGCGTTCAACACACTGATACCTAAGGCAGCCACGATGAATAGGGGAGAGAGATATATAGGGAATATAGGGAACTCGATCAATTGATCGAGGCAAGATAATATAAGCTAAGGAAGCTAGAAAAAGCTAGGAAAGCTAAACGGGAAAAGGTCCGAGTTAATAACTGGAGAAAAGTCGATTTCGAAAATGGGGGCGACAAGCTTAAGAATTGAATAGCAGCGGTGAGGGAATGATCCATCACCTGGTCTGGATGGCTCCAAGACAACTTAGTTGTCTTCTCTGTCCGACCCAGTTTGGCGGATAGTTGGGCAGGATCTCCTATGGAGACCACCCTAGTCGACCCCCGGAGTATTGGGCTTTTATTATTTTTATTTGGGTCTTTTCCGTCTTTTAGTCTTTTCTCTGCCTATTATTATTGAGATATATTAGAGAAAAAGAAAATAAAAAAAAATAGGAGAATATGTCCAATATATGTTCATATCAGTCCAATAGGTCCATGGATTTAGATATCCCCTATATTCTACCCAATTCAGTTATAAAAATAAAAAAGGTATACAAAGTACCCGGGGAAAGCGATCATGCACAGCACAATCATCGGGAGCTGCAAGTGTGCGCCGTCACCATGGACGTGGACAGGTAGTGGAGTCCTTTCTTTTTTTTTTTTTTTTAATCACTTTTCTTTTTCGTTCCACTTATTATTTCGGAAGGTTTTAAAGTGGCTTGAGTGGATAGAAATCCAGCAAGTTCCTCTGAAATGAGAGACGCCAAACTACTCTGATCTATACCCACTCAGGTATAGGCATATCCTTGCCTGGCCACAGCCTCCATTCGAGAGGTTGATGCTTGGGACACCCTCGCAGCTATTACAAGTATCTATACAGCAACAATTTCTCTCTTCCACAAAGTTTATGGAATATGTTGTGCATCACTCTTCCCCGTGCGGCAGAAAGGGGCCCCGTTGACCGTTAGGGGTAGGATACCGTTCCTCGGCTAAGAATTTGGGCTTTGACACCTTGAGAACTTCAATTTGACGTCATTGAAGGTAACGTGTGAATTCAAACTGACCATTCGTGTGACCATGGAGAACCCATATAGGGCTAAACTGGTTTTCGCCGAGTCCCGTAACCCAGCTGACAACGCTCTATCAGTTTGGATTTGATGCTCCACGATCGGACCAGACGGAAAGGGATCCGGATTCCCCTAGCCTCATCATTGTGAGATGCATGAGCAGTGTGGATAGCTCTGTTTCCAACTTTTTTTTTCAAGCTTGACTCCATTGGGGAGAAAGATTCCGCATGGCAACGGTCAAATAAGCAGCGGAGATCGGTTTAGTGTTTCGAATCCAAAGTAGAGCGGGAAATGGTATACAGCATACGCAAATTGGTGCAACTGAAGCGCCTTCTTGGCATTGGCTAGTATTTGTTGATCCTTCGATACGGCATCGGAAATGTTTCATGATCTCCGGATCCTGATCTGGATGGTAAGTGGGCAAGTTGCGATAGATCTTCTTTGGTCTCTGTGGCACAAGTCCCGAGGTCGTTCCCGATACATATTTGAAGGGGAGCTGTCAGTCTTTTGTAGCGTACCCGCTGAGATTTTCTTTTTCCTGCTTCTGAGCGAATCATCGGCCATGATAGAAATACAATTGCGGTCTGATAGATCCAGTGATTTTGACTGGTTCCATCGAATGAGGCTAGGATATGAGAATTTGCTTCCTCTTTTGTTTTTTGTTTTTTTTTCTCTTGTGGCTTGCAATCTAAAACAGCCCCTAGTCCTTCCCAGGCAGGTTGGTATATTGGTACTTTGTAGATATTGCCGTATGCGTGTCATCGGACTATTTGAATGGTGCAGAAACGGAGAAGTTAAAAAAGATATCCGGTAGAATGGATTCATCGATCACTGGATGCTCTTTGTTTTTACTTTTCTTCAGTTCGCTCTGAATTGTGGAGACTTCCCCTTTTCATGATCTTCACCTGTTCACCGATCTCCGATTATCTCGTGTCCGCTGCAACCGCATTTTCCTTGGAAAAAAAAGCAAAAGAATAGCTTTGTCTAATCTAGATCCCGCCGGATAACTCCCGGTTGACAGGTACGGTAGATCTTCCCTCGAACCCACATACCTGAGTCGGAAAAGGACAAACCCATAGCACATTATATGTACAATATACCTACTCTGTACGCCCTGCAGGGCGGATCCAAAAAAAAAAACAGAGGTGGCAGTGCTAGACCTGCCCACGCGTTCCTTGACCTCGAACTCCAGCCGAGTTTGAAATTGGACGGAAATCAGGGGAACCAAGTTCGACATTGTATAGTATGTACTGTATATGACATGATATGAGATCGATATGCAGAAACATGCAGAAACATGCAGAACCATGCAGAAGCTGATTCGATCTATAAACCTGGTCTATAAACCTGGCTTTTCTTGTCCCTTGCGTGAGTGGAAAAGGCTACCCTGACCCAAGGTGCCGGACAATGACAGCGCGGACCCGACGTACTCGCCCGTTTGCTGATCAGCGATCTACACTCAGGTTTGCACTGCATATCCGAGTTTCTTGACTGCGCCTTTTGGTACTTTTTTTCTTTCTCTCGTGCGAATGGAGACTTCCATTACCGCCTTTTGAACTGATTTTTCGGCGCGGGAAATGCAATGTACTAGTGATGCACCATTGATCCTTCTGCTCGACGCATATGTACAATGCGTGAATGCGGGCATAATTACAAAGTAAAACAAGAATTGAGACCAAGAATCAAAGCATGTGCTCCCCAGTAGTAGGTATGTGCTATGTATGTACGGCGGACTCCGTGTCATGTACGGAGTATCATCCCATGAATATATATGCACACGACACAACACAATCCGTCAGACCCTACTGAAACCGAAACTCATTCTTAGGCACACCGCGAACCCCAACATCAACCCGGAAAACCCGACCCCCATATCTAACCGACTGTGGCAGCCGGTCGTCATCACGATCATCCTTGGCGGTCGTAATGAACAACTCAGTACCGATAAAGGCTGGACAGGTCACGTTGCGGGTCGGGAGATCGATCTGACCGATAATCTTTCCGGCCGGGGAAATGCGCAAGACCTTTCCGCCGCCGTAGACAGCGGTCCAGATGCAGCCTTCGACATCAATAGCGAAGCCATCAGGCTCTAGTGCGTTACCGATATCGAAGTGAACACGACGGTTGCTAATTGCACCAGTGGACGCATCAAAGTCAAAGGCAAAAATCTTGCCTGTTGGCGAATCAGTCAGGTACATCACGTCGTTGGTTAGGTTCCACCCGATCCCGTTAGGGATCGTCACCGGTGCCAACATGTGGTGCACTGTCTGATCTGGGTCTAGTCTGAACAGAACTCCTTCTGCTTCAGGCTTCTTGACCTTGGGGTCATTCATAGCTCCGGCCCAAAACCGACCATGGCTGTCGATTGCGCCATCATTGAAACGCATCCTACATTTGGAATCAATGTTAGTTCACGCTCTTCGAGTGAGCAATATACGTGGCGTCTTTGGTTCTTCTTTCGGGTTAGCTTACCTCTCAGCCTTCTCCTCATCTCCCCAAAGTGCATGGGTATCATGGACATAGGAGAGCTTCCCAGTAGTTTGGTCCAACCGAGCAAATCCATATTTGGCCCCAACAATTAGCTGATTGGACCTTGGATGAGCTATATTAGCGGTCACGCTAAAAGTCCACGTGGTACCCCGTCAGCCAATTTAATTTCCCACGGGAGATGAGAAACCCACCCAACAGAGGCATCGGTATCAATGACCGTCAATGAGTCAGGTCCCTTTGCCAGATCGAGTCGATAGAGTTTCTGGTCCCAGATATCCACGAAACGGAATTCATTCTGAGCCACGTCGTAAAAAGGGCCTTCGAGTAATGTTCCTGGGATGTCAAGGTACGGCTGATTCAGTTAGCTATGATTGGCCTTGCTTTTTTCGTTTTCTTTTTTTCCCCGTTCTCTGACAGGTTCGGGACAAAATAATCACATCTGACCGACACGAGAACCAGACAAAATAAAATAAATATAAAATATAAATCGAGAAGCGAATCAGGAGATGTCGAATCTCATAGAATACTCACCTCAGTGACCGTCCACCTCTGAATCTCAGACATGCCGATCGGTGAGTGGACACCGCTATTTGGGAAGAAGAGGGGTGAGATGCTAGACTCGCATAAAACGGTTGACACCTGTTGAATTCTAGCCGATCAAGGGGAATTGTCGGTGTCTGTCGGTGTCCCTGGTGTTCCGTCAGTCCGTATATCCAGTTTGAAGTCAATTCAAGTTGAAAAGAGAAAGATGAGAGAGAAGGTGGGAGATGCCAAGACACCCCCACGAGGGCTTACTATCCTTGTACACTACCTACTTAGGCAGTATGTATCGTGTACCTTTGTAATCTCAGTACTCCATACTCCGTACATCCTAAGCTATTTCTGTTTGTCTTCACTCCTAGAAACAGGAATTTCAGGTTCATTCGGCAATTGAAAACAAACAAAAAAAAAAAAAAGACTTTCCAATCCTATGCGCTATTGAAATCTCCTGCAGAGATCCCGTGTCTGCAATGCGAATCATCACATAGTTGAGTTTGAAATTCCCATGAACTACGGAGCCGGACGGAGGTGGTCCGTCTGCGTAAACTTTCGACTCTGCATCAGTTCGTGCAGCTAGCCGACAAACTATACAATTCAGACCCGATAATCGAACAAGATACCAAAGTACATATCACCCTCCAGGGTGGCTTTTCACATGACCAATTCTGCATGCAGATGCAAGAGATTCCTGTATGTGCTGGCGCTAAGGCCTTGAACCTGGAAGGACTTACTCTTGACTACCAATCCCGGTTGAACGACCAGTTCAAATTTCCTGCCTGACTCGAGAATCGGGCGCCAATACCGGAGTAAAAAAACACAAGAGTTCACCGTTTTGATATGCATGGCGAATGTGCTTGCAGCCAACTTGTATCACCTTAAGTGATGGATCATGCAAGTGGGAAATGGATTGTCGAGGTGGACAAATCAGCCTTTGCAATGAGATAGTCCGAAATATGTAAGAGGGATACTAATTCAGCTGCTTGCTATGAACGTGTTTCGTGCACGGCTCCTGGCCAATGAGCTTCAACGGCACCGCTCAATGCTCAAATGCACCCTCCCCCATATGGTACAGGTAAGGCTTGCATGCAGATAAGGCCTGCAGTCATCGTGAGATGAAGTTGGGCATCAATTGTGTTCGGGTCCAGTCTAATACGAATGTACGGTGATGAAAATCAAGCACAGCGTTGGTTTTTTTTTTATTCCACTTTTTGGGGGGGTTGCGTACGGGACAATTTTCAATTGGCGGGGACGGGGGCGCAATTATTGACCGTCATGTCACTGCAAAGTAGGGCCTGATCTACAGTTGCAAGTGACTTTACCCGGGCTGTGTCCCCACGGAAGGGTTTTGAGCTTCCCGTTTTTCCTTTTTCCCTTTTTTGCGATTTTCGTGTGGATAACCGAAGAGCGAGAGCGAGGAGTGGAAGCGATGCATCATGATCTTCGGTGAACTGGGATTCTGAATGGATAGGTGAAGCACCAGGGACAGGTACGATGTATGAGATCAAATACATACAATGTAGAGACAATAGTTGTGGTTTGCAGAGATATGAACAAGAGAAGTTGGTCATTAAACATAGTCGGTCAACTTATTTACAAGAGATCACCCATTTTCGCATTAGTAGAGACAGCTTACAACTTGGTGCCCATGTTGACATGGACAGCCTTGACCTGCGAATATGCGTCCAAGCCAGCTTCGCCGAGCTCGCGACCGATACCACTCTGCTTCACACCACCGAACGGCACGCGGAAGTCACTGTCATTGCTGCTGTTGATCCAGACCATGCCGGCTTCGATATCGGAGGCAACCCGGTGGGCACGCTCAATATCCCGAGTGAAGACTGCGGCGCCAAGGCCGTATGTGGTGTCGTTAGCACGGGTGACGGCCTCATCCTCAGTGGAGAAGCTAGCAATGGCAACGAAGGGGCCGAAAACCTCCTCACGGTAGATGCGCATCGAGTCCTTGACGTTGGTGAAGATCGTAGGCTCAATGAAGAAGCCACGACCATCACCGACATTCTTGTGCGGCACACCACCGGAAGCGAGGGTTGCGCCCTCGGCCTTGCCGGCCTCAATGTATTCGAGCACGCGCTCGTACTGGGCCTTGGTGACCTGAGGGCCCTGGAAGGTGTCGTCGGAGAAGGGGTCGCCGACCTTGCTTGTGGTCCGGACGACCTCCTTGAAGAGCTCAACGAACTTGTCATATACAGATTCGTGCACAAGGATTCGGGATGTCGCAGTGCAGACCTGACCCTGGTTGTACATAATGCCAATGTGTGCCCACTTGGCGGCCTGCTCGAGGTCCGCATCCTCAAAGACAACTAGCGGCGACTTGCCACCAGTCTCAAGGGTGACGTTCTTGAGGGTGCCTGCAGCCATCTTCATGATCTCGCGGCCAGTGAGAGTGGAACCAGTGAAAGCAACCTTGTCGACGCCGGGGTGGTTAACCAACGCGCCACCAGCAACACGGCCATGGCCGTTTACAACGTTAATAACACCTGGGGGAAACCAGCCTCCTTAATAAGACCGGCCAAGTACAGAATGCTAAGCGGGGTCTGCTCGGCAGGCTTAAGGACGATAGTGTTACCGCACGCAAGGGCAGGGCCCAGCTTCCAAGCTGCCATTGCTAGAGGGAAGTTCCAAGGAATGATCTGGCCAACAACACCAATAGGCTGGCGGAGGGTGTATGCGAATTTGGCCGGGGTGGTGCCAATAGTCTGACCAAATACCTTGTCGGCCCAGCCGGCGTAGTAGCGGAGAGTGTTAGTGACCTCACCGAGATCATCATTCAAAGAGACCTGGTACGGCTTGCCTAGAGTACATGTCAGTTCTTATCTCTCTTGATACTCGACCGTCTCCCTTGTTACTCACCATTATCCCAAGTCTCAATGGTGGCCAGTGTCTCCTTGTGCTGCTCAATCAAGTCAGCCAACTTGAGCATCAAGAGACCACGATCAGTGGCCGGCAGTAGCTTCCAGGAGGGGTCCCTGAGAGCCTTGCGAGCGGCCTTCACGGCGATATCAACATCCTCCTCACCAGCAGCATGCACTGACGTAATCTCAGTTTCATCGCTGGAGATCTGGTCAGCTTGTCAAAGTCCCACAAGACACTTCAGAAACACCTACGAGGGGTTCACAGTGGAGATCTTCTCGCCAGACTTAGCAGCCACAAACTCATTGTTGATGAAGAGACCGATGGGCTGGGTGTAGCTGCGCCCATTCGGGGCAGTCAATTGTACGGAGATGTCGGACATAACGAAGGGGGAGCTGTGGAATGTGCGATGCGGAGCGATGAAGCGGGTGAGATTTGATGAAGCTTTGTAGAAATAACGGAGGTGACTATTGAACATGGAGAGAGAGGGGAGAGAGAGAGAGAGAAGAGTAATAAAGGAGGGGAATGGGAGACTGAAAGTGACCCCCCGAGGTCCTTGGAAAGCTCCCCGCCCTGATAAGCCGATAAAGATGCTCCACTCTCCGGATAGACTTACTCTTCCCAGTCAAAATATCGCCATTCCCAGTTGGTTTGTTTGGTTTGCATTTCTCTTCTTCTCTGGTTGGCTGTACTGTCCGTATTCGGCGTGGGAGAAATTCTTTCCTTTCTTGGAAGCTTATAGACCCGATTTGTTCTTTATGACTAACTCCAGTTACAGTCCTGCAGGGACCTGCATAGCGTCAAACATATCAAATACTTCCGCTAGCTCCTGTCCAAGCCGTGTTTTCCGTGACTCCTTGCATATCGCATGCATCAACCTGCAGGGGCCGACGGGTGTTTCCATGTTTACATGGCTGAGGTAAATTCTGACACAGCTCGTCCCGGTGCAGCTAACAGTCGTATATTTTGAACGGTAGATTGGACAACCTGGCGCATGTGTGAGGGCAAATCAATACAACGCAGCGACAAGGGTAATGTGACACCATCCCGTGTCCTGTCAGAGCATTCACAGTTGTGCCGAAACCGGGGGAGCGCGTAGGCCAGAAGAGACTGATCAGCTAGGAATCAGTGAGACCAGTCCATATGACAATGGCATGACTGCCGTTGTAAATAATTCAAAGAGCATCAACCTGATCCGATGAGTTTATACCTTGCACATATCTCTAGAGGACACATCGAGTCAAGTAAAATATGCTTCAATTCGCTCGTGCAGATAACCCATGTGCAACCGGCAACGCCATCGATAGAAGAACTTAGGAGAATTATGTGGAATAAAACTCTCTGTGAATCACTTGCAAGTAGCGGATTGCTTTCTCAGGCCTGTTCCTCCTCAGCACTGGATTCCTTCTTCGTGAACTCCTCTTGCGGTTCCTCGCCTGCCAACTCCAGTATGTATTTCCATTGTGCCGGAGTCACAGAAGACACGCTAAGTCGGGATTGCTTAATCATTTGAAGGTTCTCGAGTGGCTTTCCGGTCTGGCCATGGGATTTCAGGTCCTGGAGTGTGACTTGCTTCTCAAGTTTGCGGCGATATTCAACGTGAACGACAACCCACTTTGGATCGTCTCGCTTGGACTTCGGGTCGTAGTATGGGTGGTTGGAATCGAAAGCGGACTCTGTCAAACGTCTGAGATAAGCAAACTGATCAAGCAGTGTAGTCTCAAGCGACAAACCATCCGTAGAATGCTCCTTTACAATCTCCATCACGCCCACAATTCCAGGGACTTTACAGTTTGAGTGATAGAAGAATGCATAGTCTCCCTTTTTCATGTTGCGCATCAAGTTTTTGGCTAGTTCGCTGTGAGTAAATTCCTTCTGGTCAAAGTTACTATGACTGTAGACGGGGAAAACTTACCGACATGGTTGCGCACACCTATTCCACTGTTAGCAATCTGACCATGTATACAGTGCACCAGATAGGCTAGACATACCATCCCAAGGCTCCGGGGTATCTGCAGTAGCCAGGTCATCAATAGAGAATTTCACGTCCTTGCCCTTCTCGAGGCGAGATTCAGGCTCCGCCTTCATCAACCAGAAAGAGCGGCCAGTTTCAGGGATGACATCGACCACAGGCTTGACCTTCGACTCGGTTTCAGCTTCTCCATTTGGCAAAGGGTTCTTGCGGGGTCTTCCACGACCATCCTTCTTCTTAATCGTCGGTGTGGCGGATGTCGCATCGCCTGATAACACGGTGTAAGCTCAGCGTATACCACCCACAATATGCCAGGATATTATCCATACCTGAGTCCTTGCGGGGACGTCCACGGCCGTCCTTCTTCTTGATCTTTGGTGTGACGGGTGTCGCATCGCCTGCCATCACAGCCCATGGTCAGTAGATACCACCCAAGAGATTTCAGTATATTCGCCATACCTGAGTCCTTACGGGGACGTCCACGGCCTCTCTTGGGACCCGCTGGAACGACAGCCTCGGATTCTTGCTCAGAAACAATCTTCCGTGGGCGACCACGACCACGCTTAGGAGCGTCAGGGTCAGGCTTGGGAGTCGAGCTCTCAGGGTATTTGCGCGGGCGACCACGGCCTCTCTTTTCGATAGTCTGAGGTGTAGCTTCAACCTATTCCAAGTACGTCAGCTCTGTCCCAAATTTTGGGGTGGAGAAGCCAGGGACGCGAGGATCAGCCCCTGCATTATGCACTCACCACCGAAGCCGATTCTGCAGAAGCTGGGGGTGCATCTACAGTGTTTCGTAGCCTTTTGGAAGGCATTTCAACCGACTCATTTGCACTCACAGCGCGTTCAGACTTGCGCTTGGGTGGCATGACTGGTCGACTGAATTGTGGATGAATGGGAGTGAAATGAAGCAAATATGTGCAGGAAATGGTGTAGAGTATTGTGAGAGATTACAATAAAACTGTACAATCAATGGGGTTGTGCTCCCGTGAGCTGTTAAAGAGGCTATCAAGTCAAGCGTAGCTTCCAGGGCTGGAATGTTTGGCACTGAGCTTGACGCGGATGTGGGTCTGGAGTCACACGTGATGGGGTCGATCACGATCGGCTCTGAAACATTCCAAGGAGTCAAGTACACTCTGCCGGTATATAATGTTGAAAGTTCCTAGGATATCTTGATCTTCCCCAAATCTCTTCACTTATCTCCAGCGTTGCTCAGGGGCATAATTGGCACACTTGGATCTCACCAAGTACCAAAACCTTGGCAACTGTCTCTTTTTTGCGGCTATCAAACCTAAGCTACTTGTTCAGTCCTCTTTCTTCAACGAAATCATTTGGTAATATGGCAATGACCTTGCTTTGATAAACTGCTAATGTTAAACATTGTTTCAATTTTCGAAGGAAAACGTGCTATACATATTAGGATTGACGAGGGAGATATATATTTTCCTTACATACTCTTGGTATGTGACTTGTGATTGACTGGAAGTAGTCCATTTTCATCACAGGTAGCTGAAGCTCAGATTCATACCTGTCTTGTAAATCAACGCAAGGTCATACTGAGAAATAGAAGTGGATAAAGAAAGTCAAGAATATGTAATATCAAAAGCTAAATATCAAAAGCTATCTCGAAATGTCTCAGGGTAATCAAAATAGCGTTAATTAAGCTTATCACAGACCCATTAGCATGGACGAGATTGTTGGTCCATCATATCAAGTCAAGTCTTTGCTGGTGAAAATACTCCTCGGTGTTCTCCAAGGCGGCCCTGGTTGCTGTTATGGCATGAAGGTAGTATTACTGCTGAACATGACCATAGAGATAGAGGCAGTACACAGGCTACCTCGTACGATGTGTATGTGGTACATGCAGTTAGACCCACTATATACATTGGGTACATATGTGGGTCAAATGCTCATTGAGTTACCATTGCCTAGAACGACTCGTGGACAGAATGTCGGATTATGTATTCGAAAAATCATGCTTACATTTGCCTGAAGAACCACTTGAAACAACATCGGAAGAGTCTCCAGGTCATGGTTTCGGAGACCTATGGACTACAAATCAGTATGTAACGTTCAGGCCTGTGGAAAACGGATTACTGTCTAGGGCGCATACCCCAGCACCTGCATTGTACCTGATCCGGTCTTATTGAGGAGGTATAGAGAGCCATACAAGGATGTATACGTTCTTAGAACGAGTCACCGTGTGCTGTCATGCTATGCAAGCTTCATGAACTAGTGCCACACTAAGCAAGATCCTACGAAAACACAAAATTAAAAGAAAAGAGATAGCATGATAGGTTTCATTAGAATTGCTTTATCTTTCTTGCATCACATTCCGAGACTACATTTACTCCTTGAGAGTGGTGAAGCGAAGGTAACTACAGCATGTCAGTATCCTGTTTCAGATTGGCAATTGGTCAAGGAAACTCACGGCTTCACTTCACGAATCTCGCCGAACTTCTTCTTAGCATCCTCGGTGCTAACAGTTGGTGGTACAATAACGTCCTCACCCACCTGTGGTTGAGTCAGTATGATACTTCGCATAGTTTCAGGGTCTGGGTGCTGAGGATGGGGACCATACCAGCCAGTTAACGGGTGTGGTGACACCTCTCTTATCACCAGTCTGCAACGAGTCGATCACACGCAGAACTTCAGCGGTGTTACGGCCAGTGGAAGCAGGGTAAGCCATGATCAGGCGGATCTTCTTGTTAGGGTCGATAATGAAGACGGAGCGGATGGTGAAGGCGATGCCCTTGCTGTCGACATTTTCCAAATCGAGTTGATCGATCATTTGGTAAAGGTAGGCAACTTTGCGGTCCGCATCGGCAATGATGGGGAACTTGACTTGAGTGGAGTTGACTTCATTGATGTCCTTGATCCAGTCGGCATGGGAACTGAGATCGTTGGCACTCTGTAAGAGAAGGAGAATGTTAGCCAAGGCTCAATTATAATTACCCCATGGAGAGATGGGAGGGACTTGCCAATCCGATCATCTTCACTCCGCGCTGATCAAACTCATCCTGAAGGCGGGCGAAGGCACCCAGCTCAGTGGTGCACACCTAATCGTGGTTAGTTGGTTTTTATCGCGAGGAATCGAGATTTGGCATACCGGTGTGAAATCGGCCGGGTGTGAGAAGAGAATGGTCCAACTGTTACCAATGAATTCGTGGAAGTCAATCTCGCCCTGGGTAGTCAGAGCTTTGAAGTTGGGGGCAATGGAGCCCAGGCGGAGACTGAGAGACGGTTAGCAGGAGTAAACAAGAAGGTGGGGTGAAGCGTACGCAGCGTCAGTCATTTTGAATAGAGAGTTAGGGAGATGAAGAGGGAATTGAGAGATGTGAAAGAGGTTGGGACACCGTTCAAATATGTATCAATGTGATCACGCCATCGTATACGGATAGGATTTGGACGATTGGTGCATATGTGGGGTTGGAGATGGAGGGGTACTCCGTACTCGGTATTTGATACGCATTCACCCATGAGAACTCCTGTCTCGTCTTTTCTTTCTCATGTTCCCCTGCTTTTTCTCATCTATTGAATTCTATACTCTAAACCTGACTCAACGCTGATGTTATGTACAACATAGAAGATATATCGGATGTTGATCATGGTAGCCAAGCCTAACCCAAATGACGCCATCTATACCATATTATACGAATGTCCTATCACGGCAGATCCCCAACACGTCGATGCACGCTTACAGCGACTACGCAGAACCCTTCAGCTTGGCCCCATGATTATGTAATATTCTGCCGGCCAAATTATCCGCTCCCGATTCAATAGCTAGTATGGCCTGCTTGACAACTCACCAGCATATGAAATTCCAAAAAATATTAGGAGCTAATAGTTTCCTATAACATATTCTCGGAAGTGGTTACCGCGAGGACCCTGCTGGAGAGCCAATGAATGGCCAAAGTCATTAGAAGCCCACCGTTTCCTACGAGACGTGTGCAGAAATGGGTTGGAACCTGTTTGGGAAACTTAAAAGGCACCCTTCTACGAACGAGCGAGGGTGTGGAATTTGACACTTAAGTGTTTGGGACCCGAGATGGACCTAGATTCGAGCTCGCCGTTAAATGCCCTCGAGTTCATACAGTGCCACATATATTGAAATGAAAGAAAGCAATGTTTGAAAACAAAAGGCTCAAGACAAGAGCAAAGCCGCAGTGACTAGGACTTCTCCAAACAACATCGTGCCGGGCTACAGCATGATCGATTGCTAGAATAGTTGACTCAACTAGAGCAGTGTTGGCTCCTGTCACACGGACTCACACCCTACTCCCTACTCCGTGAAGATTTGGTCAAACATTTCATATACTGATAGAATGGGATATACGAGCTTTATACTGGAGCAAAGGCGATACCTGATTCATAAAGCTCTAGACAATGTACCTAATTCCTAACATGGCCAATGCCTATCACACTAGATGATGGGAATTATTTTAGGGACCTCCATATCCTCGTATACCACAATATCAGACATACCTTGAATTTTAGATCCTATTTCATAAAAAAAAAGTTATCGACGAGATTGAAGATTTTCTCATTCAAAAAATGCATATAATATCTAACCTGATCATTTGAAGATTAGTGGAGGGGCCACATGTATCGAAAGAAAAGCGGTAAAACACTTTTTGTGCCGATCTCCAAACTCGACGGCTGACACTTTCGGACATAACTGTGCGCTCATCCAAGATACGAACGGCAGTAGTTTGAACTGTCTGGTTTCGTTCATCAGTCCGAAGTTGCGGCGACGCGGGGAACCAACCCCTTTTTCGGCTCCCCACAAACAACCCTTCCAAGCCGTACCAGACACACCTACGATCAGCGCCGGGTATATTCTCCGAGAAAAACGCCTTCAAAACACGCCTCCTCGCATGCGAGCGAGACTGGGTGAGTAGAAGCAGGAGGTCAACGGCTACCGACACGATCGTCTCCGTTGAACGCGAACGGAAAACTCGCCCACCATGATGTCGCGAAGTCAGTCGAGTCTAGGGTATATGGATTCAGGGCGGGAGGATTCTGCGCCGGGTGCCTCTCCGTCTCTGAACCAGCAGTCTACCTCTGGCCCTATAAATCTCTCCGGTCTGGTGTGCAACGTGCGCCGAACGACTGGCAAGGAACCCCGCCCTCTCGTCGGTGCCACTACGACCATACTTGGGGATAAGCTGTACGTGTTCGGAGGCCGGATCCTCTCACGCAGCCGTCCTCAACTAACCTCTGACCTTTACGAATTGGATTTGATTCGACGACATTGGACGAGAATCGAGCCCGCTGGAGATGTTCCACCGCCGCGGTACTTCCATAGTGTATGTGCTTTGGGTGATAACAAGTTGGTTTGTTATGGAGGCATGTCACCCGCACCGAGTACGCCAAAGGACCCCGAGAATCCCGCAGAGCCGCAACCGCAGTCACAATCGGAAGTCGTGGTTATGTCGGATATTCACATCTTCGATGTACCATCACGGGCATGGACTCGTGTTGCTGCCCATGAATCTCCTCAGGGGCGCTATGCACACTGCGCTACGATACTGCCCTCGAGTGCATGCTTCACATCTGCTAGTGCACCACTTTCCGCCATCCACAATAATCCTGAATCATCCACTCATCAAGGCACGCTTGGCGTGGATATTGACGGCTTTGGAGGTGCCGAAATGGTGGTGGTCGGAGGCCAGGATAGCTCCAACCACTACATCGAACAAATCAGTGTTTTCAATCTGCGAAGTCTGAAATGGACCAACACTAGCCCCCTGGGAAGGAGCTGCGGCGCATATCGCAGTGTGGTGGCTCCTCTGGTGGGAATGGATGTGTCCGAAATTGGGTCCTCGGCCCCAGATCGCGACCAGCACGAGCCGATTCAAGACAGCACCGAATCGCCAGGTTGTCCTATGCTGATATACTCCAACTACAATTTCCTTGATGTCAAGCTGGAGCTGCAGGTGCGCCTGCCGGACGGACGCCTTGTCGAGCGACCGATGCAGAGCCAAGCATCCCCCCGGGACTGCGTTTCCCAAACGGTGGCATTATCAATGGCCACTTTGTTGTCAGTGGTACTTACCTGACTTCTTCAAAGCAAGAATATGCGCTGTGGGCGCTCGACCTGAAGACGTTGACTTGGGGCCGTATTGATGCCGGAGGATCAGTATTTGGACAGGGTAGTTGGAACCGAGGAGTACTTTGGCCTCGCCGTAATTCTTTTGTGATTCTCGGACACCGGAAGCGAAGCCTTGTCGATGACTACAACCACCGGCGAATTAACTTTTCGCACGTCTGTCTGGTCGAGCTGGAGGCATTCGGACTCTACAACAATCCTTGCCGAACCGCTCCAACCTCAGGATATAAGTCTTATAGCTCCTCTTCTGTTCCGGCATCTCTACAGAAGAAGTTAGTGCAGTTGACATCAGGTGGCCGGCCATTCTCTGTGGCCTCCGATGAGCTAGGCAAGCTCGCGCAATCTTTGCCAGAAATGGCCGACATGGAGTTGCAGGCTGTGGGGGAGAACGTATCTCCGTCAACTCCCGCGTATTGACTCGGCGCTGGGGCCCTTACTTTATCCAACTCCTCCGTGAGTCGTCGGATGGAGGTGTTGCAGACATCGGAACTCTTCGTCCGGCCAATATACACCCGAGCCGCAACTCGAGTATTACGATCACCCCCTCAATAGGCTCCGATGCCACAACTCTTGTCAATCAAGCTGTACCTTCTAAGTCTCTGCTTGAGAATCTTGAAGTGCCGTCTGCTCATAGCCTCGCCCCAACCTCCCGGCCGCGTGTGCTGTATCTCCCCCATACCATTTTGACTCTGCAAGTGCTGGTTCAATACCTCTACACCTCAGCCCTTCCAGCTACAGGCACATCGCTTTGCACACCACAAATTCTCTGCTCGCTTTTACAGCTTGCACGTCCGTATCAAATCGATGGACTACTAGAAGCCACCGTCGAAAGACTCCATCAAGTTCTCGATGGGCGCAACGCCGCAGCTGTATTCAATGCAGCTGCTATGGCTGCTGGTGGTGGCCGTGGTACTGGATTCAATGGTGGGCCAGGAGGTACACTTGAAGCGCTGAACGGAGCTTACACCGGCCACAACGGTACTGCACTCGCGATTGGCGAGAATAGTAACTCCCAACACGGTGCACTCGCATCAGACTCGTCTGACACAGAGCACGGTGGTGCCTCCGCTTCAGCAGCGAGCAGCACAGGCGATCTTACCAATTTCGCTCGAGGTATTCCATCTCTCCGCATCGACACCAGTGTCTCCCAACATTCGCGCCAGCGCAGCGCCAACCGTGACCGCGAGGATTCCATCAGTAACCCAAGCACAGCGACATCCGCGTCTAGTGCTAGTTTCAGTCAGTCTGACTCCGAATGGGTCAGCGGCGATGAAAGCCGCTCGCAATCCCGCTCGCAGTCCCGCTCTACCCATCACCGCCGTGACACAGATGCCGAGTTGCGTCGCCCCCAACGTGAGCTCTGGACCGGTGACTTGAGCAGTGTGATTGGTCTCCAGAAGCGCGGCTTGCGTGGTCTCATGGAAGGTCGGCGCATGCGCGAGCGTAGCTCAAAGCCCACCAGTACTGGCAGTGGCTCGATATCTATGCCACCGTCGGCTGGTTCAGGCGAACAGAACGCTCCTTTCCAAGGCGTCGCCAGTTGATGATGGCCTGGAGCTAATTTGGCGTGCTGTGACCCCTATACGATCTCTTTTTCTCCACCTTATCTTCTGGTACTTAGTTCTCTTGGATGACCTCTCCCACATACCGTATTTGGATTATACATACTTTTTTCTTTTGCTTTTCACCCCAGCAGGCTGGCAATGTGGGATGGATTTAGGAGAGGGCTCTCAAAATTGGGATGCGTCTGGATGTGGTACCTTTCTTCTTTTTATGATATTTGGGCTGGGTAGGTTATTCTCGCCTACACACAGCCATGGATATATACTGAGACTCCGGTTTTGGCGCTTACAATAAATGCAATGAGATGCATCAAACCTGGATTTATATTTTCTTTTTCCTATAGAGACTTTAGGTAGAGATGAGAAGACAGATTCTTTTGGGACTTATTTACAGTTGAAAATCCTCTCCAACACTATGCAGGTTTAGACCGTACATATACTTCCGCTATCAGAAGAATAAAAAAGAAGCACATCAGTCCTTTTTGACCTGATCTCCAAGCCGCTTGGGACTCTTGCCACCATAGACTGAGGAAGATAGATTAGTTGTGCACCACAAACTTGGATTTACAATCAAATAGAAGATTGAGATTGTCTGGGCATTAGAAAACTTACTTCGCTCATAAAGAATCCACGACGTGTACATTAGAATGGGTAGTCCGACAATGGTCGCTGTCCATCTAGAAACAGAAGGGATTAGGTTTCTCGTTTTTGCCATGGATCATTCATCAACCAGAACGCAAAAGCAAGACACTGAGGTACAAAGGCAAACAGATATTGATGACACCTACCTGCGTGCAGCAGCTTTGTACTCCTTTGTCTGCCGGATATCATCCACCCCTTTGGGAAGCCGCGGAGAAGCGGGTTGCCGGACTGGGCGTGGAGGCCGGGTTTGGGGGTCCACGGATCGGTATCTGTGCTGGTCTTTAGGGGCTGCCATTATTCTTGACTTTGGTTAGATATATTTGAGCATAAATGAATTTGTAGGGGCGGAGTTACATGTTTTGGTCGGCGTACTGGAGGATATGAATTCTGTCGGGGAAGATTCGGGGGAGGTGTTTGCGCCTGAGGCATCACTATAAATACCACCATCTCTAATAACGAGAGTTATGGAATAGACTGTACTACAACCACTTATATAAGTAGATAGATAATAACTAACTACAGACTAGACGGTGACCAAGACTGAGGCCTGTTTTTCAGTGAACCTGTGACTGAAGTACTCGTCTAACTCGCGCCCTTTTCTCGCATGCTTGAATATAATATATAGATCTAAATAAGTTCTCTGACTTGTCATTTCAATGATAAGATACTACCTTACAATGAAGGCGAAAGACGGTGTCGAAGCGTGTCGAAGCATAAGGTAATGAAACAAGCCATGTTTTTCGGAATGTTTGCATTGTATGGTGCTTATTGGGCCCTATTGAGCCTCATCCCAAGCCAGGTGGGCTTTGCGCAGGTCTACTCACCACTAACGGAAAAGTGAAGCGATACAAGGCCATCACCCTGCAACACTGACTAGTCACAATGAATCAAAAGCCTCTACCCACTGATGGGGCGAAAGCCTAGCCTATTAGCTGTATAGGCCTGGTGAGCTCGTGCATAGATTGGGTCATTGCGATACGCCTCACAACTACCCCTCAGTAATAAGGTATAAGGGTTTCCAACTCCCTCAGGTCTCTCCAGCCCATATGACACCTTTCAACTCACAGAACTGAGAGATCTCAGCCAACCACAACAAGCTCAGTTGAGACCAAAGCAGATTGAGGACCACGAATCTCAAAGACCAGCACCAGACCTCAATTCAACATATAGTGGACATGAGCAGCATACGCCTTCTGAATCGGCGAGGCTGACCCGGCTCTTGTCATTCCTCATTCTGGAACTACCAAAATTGGCCTTCCGATATGCTCAATTGGTTACACTACCCTCCACAGAGAATATCCCACCTAGGCGTCTGATCGTAAGTTCACCAAAAATTTGGTTTGGGCGGCCAAAACCCTCGAATATTGTTGACCGCGAATTCAATACTGCAAGCGAAGCGAACACTGAGGATATGAAGTCCACTACCCCCGAATCAGAGTTTGTCTTTTCAGACGCCCGGGAAGTTGCACCTCTAAACCGCAGAGAATCACTGACAGAAGAGCTTTGGCCATTGCTTAAAGATGGTACAAATACTTCTGTGTTACTTTGCTGGGGTGAAAAGTACAGTTGTTCGATCCTGCCTGATACCCTCGCCGAAAAGAAGCGACTGGAACACATCATAGATAATTACGAGCCACCAAAGTTCCCATGCCAATACAATCTACACACAGGAAGGGTCGACTGCCTGGAAACCTGTGTGCCAACAATTCTATATTATGAGGAATGTCCAGATAAGATATTTTTCAATGCGGAGCGGCGTCTTCCTCTTCTCAATACCCGCCCTCTGATGAAATCTGTCTTCTCTAATCCCGACCTCGCTGCGTTGAATGACTTTCTCAAAGAAGAAGGTGTAATTCACAGCCATTCGTGAGTAAAATGCAATGGTTATGGCCAAGTACTCATAGAAAATTAATCCATAAATGATAGGGATGTCCTGAGGAAGTTGAATGAGTGGCATTGCTCAAAATTAAGAGAGCTCCGATTCCGTGGAATAATGATCAGCGAAGGCTGGAGGACTAGGTCACAGCCCATGATCCTGTCTTTGACAGTGACTATACTGTTGATCATAGTGATTGCTGCTAAGTTGATCTTTGATGATTGGGGCACAGCATGGAATATCGGTTGCTTCTTCGCCACATTGACAACAATCCCATGGATATGGGCCCACGTGGCCGCTTGAGAAACCCTGTGCAGGCAGACTCTGTGTCGTTCGTTGTATGAGGGCTCTGGTCTGTGACAGCAAGGCGTTCCGTCGTTTGTAGGTAAACTGACACGGATCAAGGGTGGTCTCAGGTACAGGTCTAGAAACAAATCGTGAGGGTGCGTGGGAAAATCCACTTTCGACACGCTTTTTCCATAACAATGGGTCTTGAAGTATCTTAGGATGGGATCACCAAATACAGATCTCCAAGAATACAGTGTCGGAGACGTCCAAGAAGGGGGCCGGTTGCTACGCCGAATAATTTGAAATTTACTGAAGGATTTGCTTTTCCTAGCCCTCGTTGAGATACTATTCTTTTTAGTTTCGATATTACCATTGAGAATAATATATTAAGTTGTCTCCTTAGAAGCTGATTATCGACCTCGATAGACTCTAATTTTACCTATCTAAGGTCGTAGAGTCCGGCTCATTTATATCCTCTGGTTCACCCTCCTAAGAGATTGTAGGACTGCAAAATCTAGACTTGGCCATGAAAGACAACTGGATATTCAAAGCTTCAACGCAAGCAGAATTCTGCTACTTTGATTATTGATGCATGTGTAACAAGAATTCAGGCATGTTTAATTTCGTTTGTCACTGTGTAAAAAATAAGACATTCAGACATCAACACCTTGGAAAAGGGTGTTTTGAGCCCTGGTCCCTATATGTCTTTGTACAAGGTGCAATAAATACAAATGGCTCGTAAGACAAACCAGCATGATAGATACTAGATCGATCTTGGCGTGATGAAATCTTGGTCTTACTCTAATTTCAAGTCTAGTTGCCTTGATTTGAACTATCAAACTGATGCAAGCCTTTACAATTAAGATAACTTATACGGAGTAGCCGCAATTCACTTCTCATCTAAAGTGTGTACATCATATCTATCACAATTCGTCACCAGCAGGAAATGCCTTGTTCATCTCACAAAGTAATTATATCTGAGATGTAAGTCAGGAGTCCGCAGAAAGTGAGTGAGATATGAGGATTACGGAAAGGGCAAATGACCACGAAGTGAAGAAATACGAGTGGACCACAAAGACAACTAGAAAATCTCACACTTCACTATGGAAACTCCATGGAATGCTCCCGCGGGGCTAATCATACACGCTTGGAACGCCCGCTGGTAATCATACAAAAAAAAAAAAAAAAGCAAAGCAAAGCAACACAAAAGAGAGTGAATTCTGATATCGATCGCCCGGCTTGCGCCAGGCGGAAAACACTCTCATCTTGCCCTCATTGGGGCCTCACACGCCCCGGCGGCGGCGGCGCTTGTTAGTAGGTGCGGGGGACGGCGCACGTGAGGGGGCGGGGGAGGAAGGGGGCTGCACGGCGGGGGCTTGCTTGGAAGCAGAGGCCTCATTCCCGGGGGTCTCAGTCTTGGACTCCGGCTTCAAGGTCAACCGGAGCCGCTGCACCTTAGGTTTATCGCCTTCGGTAGCAACGGTGGTGACGGCGGCAGCCGGGCCCGAGGACTGGACCTTTGTCGCAGTAGTCGGAGGAGAAGTAGGAGAGGTAGGAGAAAGAACAGCAGCAGCAGGAGCGGTCTGGCGACGGCGACGCTGTGACTTGCGTCCACCGGTCCCGGTCTCGGTAGTGGTGACGGGGGCAGCTGCAGCGGGCTCATCGGCGGCATGTGCGGCCGCGGTCTGACGGCGCTTTCGGGCACGGGGCTTCTTGGTTGCAGGAGCTGGCGCAGGGGTTCGAGCAAGAGCCCTGGCCTTCTCCTCTTCCACGTTTTCAGTGACGAAGGGGGAATTAGTGTGGGATGGGAGATTACGGTCTCCCATGAGAGGAGCGAAGCTGTGAGAGATGTCGGCCTCGGCCTGCTGGCTGTTTCTGGCGCGCACGGGTGGGAAAGGAAGACCCTCGGAGCCGTAAGTATGAGCTGGATAATAGGGGTGGTATTTGTCGGGAATCAGAGAGACTTCTTCACCGCTGGAGTTAACGTAGCCAGTCTGAATCCAGCCATCGCTGCTGACCTTGGTGTCAGACTGCTTTTTGTAGCTCAAGATGCTTGAGCCCTCAATGACTGTGGTGGGTGGAGTAGGAGGAGAAGGAGCAATTTCAGGCGCTGGGGGGTCTTGGTTGATCATATCGATATCATCATCAACATCAATATCACTCGGCGAGTTGGGCTTGGTGGCGGACATGTCAGTGCCATATTTCTCTTCATCTTGAAGGCGGAAGTATTCATTTCGCTGCTGCTCCCAGAGCACGGAGAAATTCAAAGGGAGGGTGAACTCAGGGCTGAGAGCCTGAACAGTCAAGTCATACAGCCGTTTGCCAGCCAATTTCGGGTCAATATCGAAACCGATTAAAACAGCATTCTTTCGCATGTTCAAATTGGACATTCTTTTTGACTTTCTGGTTGTCTTCATAGGTGTAGGCTTTTTCGACACATTGTTCTTCACAACCTTGGTGGCCACGGGGGGAGGAGTTTCCACGGTCGGGGTGGACATAATCGTATTATTGCGGCGAGGTTTCTTCTTACATGATTCGAAAGATTCAATGGCCCTCATGGTGGGTTTGCGAACCCGGGATGAGTTCCGCATGTCGGGAGCACTAGTAGGGCTTGAGGGACCGTCAACTGTTCCTTCAGATTCAAAGCTACCCATGTACTGGTCAACCGTCCAGCTGGCGTTGACAGAGCTATCTGGAAAGTCGATATCCGAGACTGCTGGCTTCGGTGTTTCAAGCGCAGCTGTTCGTCTTGTCCGTCGACTCCCCGGGGTGGTGGCCGGGGCTTCTAGGGCTGGAGTGTGTACAGTTGAAAGACGTGACGGACGAGATTGAAAGGCTCTCCGGCGTGAAGATGGTGTTTCAGGAGACGTGCCACGTGAACTAGGACTTGGAACAGGTGGGGTTGGAGTGTAAAAACGAATATTGATAGAATTGTCTGGCGGAGAGGCGGATGTAAGGTTCAACGTTTTGGCGGGTTGAACGCTCTCATTTGTACTTTTTGACGGGGGAGGTACTCGGGGTGAGCGCCGAGAGGGTGTCAATGTAGGCGCTTTATTTATGCGCGCAGGCATCGACTTACGCTGACCCTTCTTGGGAGGCATCGTGAATTAAAGCTAAATGGCCCGGAGTTCGTCAGTATAATCTATTCATGCAAATACAATAGGCGGGAAATAGAGCCACTGAAGTGTACAAATGAAAGACTAAATAATCTCTCCAGTTACAGGCAACTAGGGTGTGGGAATAAGAATATATGGGGATCATCAGGTGAAGGGCAGGGTCGACGTCAGAAGACCGCAGTGCACGGAAAGGGAGAAGTTGGGAATTAGGGCCCGACGTATAGACGCAGAACTCACGATATTAGAGGTACAACCATCCGCAGTTAATTTCTAAAGGTTTCTGAAGCAAGCAGGCAAGGACTAGGCGGGCGTTGGAGCTGTATTTGTGGCAGATAAAGCGAAACAACGTGATGAAAGATGTTGAGGTCGAGCAGAAAAGAAATTAGGGCTACGGTTGATCGGCGCTTATCGGCTTCACTTGTCCGCCTTATTCTGCAACTCCTCTATCCTCACATCATCCCCCGAGCTCTCTACAGCTGTTCTCTGTTCTGTTTTCTTTTAATTCTTTTTATCACAATGCATATGTGGCAGGCCACCGTTCCATTTTGCTTATTGGCCGCGGCTGCCCTGCCCGGCGCCGCCGCCACAGCTTGGAGCTTTACTGATGCCACCGTGGCCGTTCAACCAAAAGGTGCTGGTATCAATGGAGGTTTCAAGGAACAGTATGTATTTTGACCCAGATAGAGGTACATGGGCCTAATTAACATATTTAAAATAGATTTGTTGCATCCAAGCCGCTCTCAAAGCCCATCTCCCTTGTCGGTACCGATACCCTACGCGTCACCTTGACAGCTCAGGAAGACAGCTCTCCAAAGCGCCCAGACCAAGCTTTCCTTTTGCTCAAGGATACTCAGACTGGATTGGATATCTCTTACCCTTTCACTGTCAAGGATAATGGCAAATCAAGGCTAGAATTGGTATGTAAACTCCCAAAACGAATTTCCGCAGCGCAGCTGACACATGCTCTCCAGACCCAGAAAGACCTGCCAATTCAATTCCTTTCCCTATCCGATCCAGTTGATGCGCATGTTGTCATTGGTGGATTCGGAAGTTCCGATGCCTATGACAGCTCTGCGTTCAAGTTGTCGATTGATCGCAATCCCGAAGAGGCCGTGCCGACCGTTGAAACTGAGCGCTACGGCAAGAAGCCCGAAATCCACCATATCTTCAAGGAATCTCCATCTAGCCCCCCAATTGTCATCACCCTGGCATTTGTCGCCATGGTCGGCGCTGCTATTCCCGCTCTTGCTGGCTTGGTAAGTTGATCCAATTGCTGTGTCAACAACGTTGCTTATAGATTGTCTCTAGTGGCTCTTCCTCGGCGCCAATATCAACCACCTACCCACCGCATTCAAGTCTGCCCCTCTTCCACACGCCGTATTCCTCGGATCGTTGTTCGCATTTGAGGGGATCTTCTTCCTCTACTATACCTCGTGGAACTTGTTCCAGGTCCTCCCCGCGATGGCTGCTGTCGGTGTAATCGCATTTGTCAGTGGAAGCCGTGCGCTGGGTGAAGTACAGGGTCGCCGTCTTGCTGGTCTTCGGTAAACCTCTGGAACATACATAAATTCATCTACCGTGGTCCTGTTAGTCCTCTCACGGTGGTCCTAAACTACCGTCTGGTTAGGTCCAGTGGTATTGTATCTTAGCTGCGGTCATACCCAGTATCTTGCAAAATTACAGATTTCCCACTGAAACATCACGAAAGTCTCGCTGATTTTCGAAAGTAATCATCTCCCTATAAAATGTCCAACAGTTGGGTTGGAGGTCCCCAAATCCGCACTCGTGCCAACATATGTTCCTTAACAAAGCTGGTTAGCTTGGCAGTTTTAGATATTTGGGACCAGTACTCAGTTGCTCCCCCTCACACAGTCTCTCTGTCTTCGTATTCTCAAGTAAGCTGTTGACTACGTGCATGTATGTCCCTTTGACGTCACAAGATTGGACATGTCTTCGCGGCACAAACGGTGATATGTATATCTGGATATCTTACCGCTCCCATTACCGCCTACTCAGGATGGTACAATCCTGCCTTGGAGATCAGGCTATATCCTCGACCGACACTGTGTGAAAAGAGAGCTTTTTTAGTATCATTGGGCATATACTCCTTTTTGCATTTTCTTGGCACCTTGAAAAGACATTAGCTCATATAGCTAGCATACTACAGCTTGTAGATCAGCCAATACTTTTCGACCTTTTCTGCTGGCAAAAGACCGAAATGTCCGCGGGCCAGGCCGTAGGTGCGATAAGATCGAACGCCAAGGCGATTTCGGGACCTCCGCTCAAAGCTCCGCAAAAAGCTGCAACGTCTTCCACAAACACATTCGATTTCATAACTCATCATTCTTAATGGGTTCAGCTGCTTCAAAGCCTGTTAAATCAGCGGCTGGCGTAGCCTCACGGCGCCAATACCCCAAGCAGCCGGTCCCTCCACCAAGGGGCCCCCGCAAAGCCCCGAAAGAAAGCAAAGCAGCGTCCGCACCTGCGCCTACTCCTGCACCCAAGCCCAAGGCTAGTCCCTCGCCTCCTCGAGCACCCGCACCTTCTTCTCAAGGTCCAAAATACCACTCAAAGGAGAAAGCATCCGGCGTGAAGTCTGATGGTACGTACACTCGCCGCCGAATCTTTCATGTCTTGACCATGCAACAATTGCAAGATCAGCAAAGAGACACTTATTAATGACTCTCTAGCAATTGATATGGATGGTCGGGACCCCGACTTCGCCGCCTCCCTCCGGTCAATAGGCCCTGTCGACCCATCACCTACATTCTCAAACTCAAGCACCGTCAACCGCCCCACCTCAACGCAAACTGTCTTTCCACAAGCCTCTAACCCGGCATTGCTAGTTGTCACTGCTCGAAAACGTCTCACCGAGGCCGCAGAAAGAGAAGCTGAGCACTTCGGTCGTGCGGGTCACCCGGGAAGATCGTTCCTGGATGCCCTGACTATCCAGCAGGTGTTGACTATGCGGGACAAGCAGGGTATGCGCCGTGGAGATATTGAACGGTTCCTTGGGTTGAAGAAGGGGGTTCTGGAGCGATTAGGGAAGGATGAAGTTGTGTCGCGTATTACATGATCGTCGTCCTCTACCTAGGTGAGCTGTTTTTGTTTAGCGGTCTTTCCCCAAAAATATCACTCGGTATCTTTGGTGCATTCTGGATTATTGGTTGGCGTCATTCTTCCTGGCTTTGTGTCTACATTGTATAGTAACGTGGTCGAGTCATCCCTACTCATGATAATATCGATTTATTTGCTTACAGTGGCTATGAATGTCTTCTTTGGTGCTTTTCAACTCCTGGCTCAACGGACCGATAATTACAAATCATCCGAGTGACCCCAGGACCACCTGTCAAAATGGTGTACATTTTCAATATCAAGTATCTCGGTAATACGAAGGGCCGTGATATTCGAGCGAGGTCCAGTCGATGGAAATTTGATGTTAACCAGAAGCTTGTTGCAGAGAGAGTAAATCCAAGAGTCTCAGGTCAGATTAGTTCAGAGTTTAATCCTCATAACCCTATTCATCAATTCCCCCGAAGTCTTTATCCCTGATAAACCACGCTGTCACAATTTGGGACGGCAGAAACGGAGCTGTCAATGATTACTCAAGCATGGCTCGGACCGATGTGACATAGACGACTGAATACTGCCAACTTTCCTTGGTATTCGTGAGCTATACAAGCCATTCCGGTTTCTGGTTCTATCCAATGGCAAGGGTGAGTGTGATACTGACCACATGGAATGAGGTCGGGTACAGGAATATCGGAAGTAGAGAGGCTCACTGCGAGAGCAAGTAGCCGAGCTACGTATGGCGGGCCCTCGGATACTCCCCTAATACTACTCTACATAAAGATATTCTATCAAAGGTAGACTATAGCAAAGTGAGATCGCTGTAGCACTTCCCACGCCCCAAGCCCGAAAGTAGGCCAGTTGAATATTAATATTCAAAACACGGACATCGATATTGGTACGAAGGTTGATATGGGATCATCTCATTGCTCTTAATCGCTGATATCTTCTCGTTACTGGTCATGCAATGTTCCACAACGAAGAAGGGTCCCCGTTAAACAATTCATGCCGCCTTAGTTTCATGATGTGGATGTATCAGCCTCACCATGGGGATAGCCGTTCTCGCGACCGGGATTCGCGACTTGAATGCTTGTTCAATCTCTGCCAAAGACTTGCCTTTCGTTTCGACCATGTAGAAGAAACTGACGACAGTTGCGACCGCAGTGCAGCCGCCGAACAGGAAATAGGCACTTGGCACGCTTTTATCAAGCAGAATCGGGCATACAAAGGCGACGAAGAAGTTACAAACCCAATTAGCTCCTGTCAGACAAGTTAGTCAAGTGATGTATGCTCAGGTGTCAAAAACAAACCATATGCGAGACTAGTTGCCTGGGCGCGCGTATGCTGAGGCTGGATCTCTGGCGCCCACACCTTGATGCCGATGCCCCAGGTCATGGCCTGAACCATGCAATAGAGATATATAGATACAATCACCACCCAGCGACCAGCACCCCCCGTGGGAAGGACCGCATTACCAGCATAGAGGCTTCCAATCAAGATCAGGAGTACTGTCAAGCCCACTCCTCCCACCAGTGTGCTAGTGCGGCGACCCCATTTATCGGCTAGCAGTGTCGCAGGAATACTAGTTACGACTATCAAGATGGCAGACACACCAGATGCCTGCACCAGAAATGAGATCAGCTTTGTATTACCGCGTGGGCGGGGAAGAAGACAAAGAATCAAGCACGAACCAAGAATGATGCTTCTTGCGATTCCAGGCCAGCCTGCTGGAAAAGTAGCGGGGCGTACTGAAAAAAAGGTCAGATAATCTAAGGGCAAACCATTGAGTATAGGGGCGTACATAGAGCACAGCATCGATGCCACAGAGCTGGAGGAATCCCATCAAAAGCACTGCCAGAGATGTCTGCTTTCGCACGTCTCGGGCCCATAAACTCCGAAAGTTGACAGCCTTTTTCCTTTCTTCCTCAAGTGAGCTTGATTGCAGTGGACTTACTGTAGGGCTCTCGGGGGTCGTTGTACGGCCATCGCTTTCACGGTCTTCCTGTTTGACTTCTAGTTCATCCCATACTTTCTCAGCTGCACGATAATCTCGATGTCTAATCAACCATCGCGGAGACTCCGGCAGAAGGAAAAGATTGCTTAGCAGGTACAATGTAGCCATCGCGGAGACGATGATGAAGGGGAGCCGCCATGAAAGTGAGCCCGGTATCTTCACTGTACCATAGCTGATGAAATATCCCACTACCAGTGCCACGCATGTCATAAACTGCGGTCCGGAGGTAAGTGGCCCTCGGGCTTTTGGGGGTGATATTTCGCAGATGTAAACGGTTTGCGTGCTGAAGTAGAGGCCATAGCCAATACCCTCAATTACGCGTCCTGCGGCGAACATCGAAAGACTTACTGCAGCGGCCTCCAAGACGGTTCCCACGATGAAAATCCCTGCCCCAAATGCCATTGCTTTCGGGCGGCCTAGTTTGTCCGCGAGTGTGCCAGCAAATATGGATCCAAGGGCAGCGCAAAGAAGAATGCAGGACACAAGAATACCATGGATAGCAGAAGAGTGCTTCCCGAACTGCTTGATGAAGCTGTCCATAATTGTGACAGGTCCGATCACGCCAGTGTCCATTCTATCATGATGGACAGTTAGAATGTTATCGAGCTTGTATTGATGAAATTACCAGACCGGCTTACCCTAGTAAGAAGCCTCCAAAGGAGCAGAGGACACTAGCAGTTGTGTACTTCGCAGGCCGAAAGCGAGCCCATGGCAGGAATACAACGTCAAGTTTCAATGTTTGTGCTTGCTGAACGTCTTTTAATTTGACATACAGATGCAGTTTACGTTAGGAAACTCTAGATATTGAGCGCCTTTGTGACCACAACAAGTGTTGGTGCTCAGCAATAGGGAGGATAGTCCCGTTTTTATATCGATATGCCTTGGGCTCACTTCAAATAAAGGAGGAAGGAAGATTTAGGCAGTAGATCGAGAAAGAAAGAGGGGTATAGTGGGTGTATGCAGATGATCAAGTGAAGACTGACGTTTCGCTGACTCTTACTTCTCCGCCAATGAAGAGTGTTGTTCGCAGCAAGGATGCCTCCCAGTTTGCTCTCCATGACGATTGCCAAAGATTCACCAAGCAGCCATCGGGGATGAAATCTTCCCAGAGTCAGTCTAAGCGGGTCTCTTGTCCTTTTCAGACGCGATCTCTATTCTTTCTGGCTTGAAGGCATCTGAGTCAATGAGTGTGCCAATTGATTCTCGCTTACTGGACTCGCATAATTTCATGGACGGAGGGTAGCTGGAGTCTGAAAGCGTTCTACTCCAGCCTCTAGTTCTCTGACCACCCACCAGAAACCAGAATTGATTAATATACACTTACATAGCAGATGAGCCGTAAGATTAGCAAAATCTAGTAGTTACCTCACGGGCCTCGAATGTCTCAAAATAGCAAAATCACGATGGCGCTTCGAAGCTTTGAATGGCAGCTTTACGGCAAACAAGGATATACGATAACAGTAAGAGTCCAAGACCCAGAATTAAGCGTCACAGCATGTAGTAGGTACAGTACAAGGTCGATCACTGAAATTGAAATTTTTAGGAATCATTTAGGCCAATTACGGGTTATTGGAAAGGGAATCTCCAACTTGGCCGCTCAACTACTGATCGTATCCCCGCCTGATGAAAAATAAGGCTATATAGACACTACGTATGTTAAATGAATTGTGTAGATGAAACTATACCGTATATTGTATATATTTTCAGAATGGATTTCTTGCAATGATATTGAGACTGTTGGAGGTAAATTAAGTAAGTTATTCTTCATTCCATCTTCGTTTGCAGATAGAATGAGCCAACTTCGCGATGAAATTTCGCAGGTCATTTCCAATGACAGAACGGGTAATAATTTTGAGTTGGAATCTCTAAGCTGATATGCAAATTAAAATGCTTCTAAAAGAAAAAATGATGATGCTTCGGCACCGACTACCAATCACATAACAAAGATACGCAATGACTCAAGTGGGATGCGATCTAAATTACCCCATATAATGATAAACTACATTATATATATGACTACCTTTCTCTTTTATACGCACTCTGAAAACACTCGAACATATTCACCTCTCCGTCCTCTCTATAACGATGTATCTCCGCGCCGTCCATGCCGAGGGACAACTCCCCGTTCTGCAGCAATTCATCCGCGACAACCCACTCGGAATTCTAACAACGGCGATCAAATCCCCAATCCACTCATTCATCCAATCAAGCCACATACCATTCGTCCTCGATGTTTCTCCCTCGACTAAGGACGATGACACAATCCCGACCGGCATTTTGCGCGGCCACATGGCCAAGCAGAACCCACAAGCAAAGGCACTGATGGAAGCTCTCGCTGAGCAAAACGCATCAGGCAATGATAAGCTCGAGCTCACCGACGAAGTTCTTATCCTCTTTAACGGCCCGTATCACCACTATGTGACGCCCAAATTCTACACAGAAACTAAACCGGTTTCCGGCAAGGTTGTCCCGACATGGAACTATTCCGCCGTGCAGGCGTATGGCAAGATCAGTGTATACTGCAACTCCAAGGCAGAGGAAACGGGTGCGTTTTTGCAGAAACAGATTGAAGATCTGTCGCGACAGTCTGAGACGGGTATTATGGGGTATACTGGGGGTGATAAGAAGAGCGCGTGGAATGTGTCCGAGGCACCGGTCAATTATGTGGAGCTTTTGAAGAAGAATATCATTGGCATTGAGATTCGGATTGAGCGGTTACAAGGAAAGTTCAAGATGAGTCAGGAGATGGGCGAGGGGGATCGGGAGGGGGTTGTCAAGGGATTTGAGGAATTGGGGTCGGAGGTTGGGAGAGGAATTGCTGATTGTGTCAGGGAACGTGCTGCCTTGAAAAATCAGCAGAAATCATTGTAACTGGTTTCTTAGAGAGAATTTGTATATAACCTGGCGGTTGCCGTTGCATATAGACCTGATATGATCATGAGAGATGAAAAGCATACATAGGTGATATAGAACATTTATCGGAACGTGCGTGTTTAAGTGTGTGCTTTTTGAGGCAGAGACTACATAAGTACCTAGGCACCGGGCGGTTCTCATACGTTTCACTCTGCGTTTTTTTGAGTTCTCTACTCATCACCTTGCTCATACTTTGTGTTACTTGGGTTCCTCCAGTCGAATTTTGGCAACCAAAGCCTATGGACCATGCATACGTCCAACATGCCGAGAAGCCCTGACTGTTTCCTAAATGAGAAGCGAAAAATGTAGGCCTCTTCCTTTGTTTGTAAGACTTGGGGGCCCTGCGTCAAGACTCAACACCAAATCAATACGATGGTTCGGATTTTGCTGAAAAGATCCCATGTGTCTATACAGAGCATAGTGTTCACATGACAGATACAGGCCTGACGTACAGGTCTTTCTACAAGTCTCCTGTGATATGTATCGCCAAGCATTTCTAGGCCAAGGCCTGCAGAATTAGCCTTGAACACCCCTGGATTGTGGCCGAATGCGTGGTGTAGTATAAACCTTATATATATTGCCTGGAGTGTATTTTATCCAAATCGGTACTCCCCACAATTAGATCTCCGAGCCATGGGATCTTGAAGATCGGGCCATCATATATGAGAGAGCAATACCTAGAAGTGGAAGTGGGGGCGAGGAAATGGGGAATTGACGCAAATCACTTTTCCCCGGATTTTACCGTTAGAAAGGGACCTCGGGAGGTTCCAGGGTTAACATGCTACCCCTGAACATTGGGAATCTTGTACCCTAAGATTAGAAACGTACTCCGTAGGCGCTTCCCGTCTAGGGTTTTCAATTGGGTTCCCGTTTTTTTTCAATTGGTATTGTACCGTATTTTGTCTTTCCGGTTTCACCGAAGGAGCGAATCATTTTGGAATAGTGCAATTCAGGGTCCACTTAGTCATTCACGCATAAACCTATACAGCCGCTTGTCTCTTCCTAGATCCACTTTTATTCAAAACAGGTTGGGATGATGCTATTTTAATATGGAGCAAAGAGGTACTAACGTAATAAAAAGTGTGTGAAAAATAAAAAAAGGACCAAAAAAGGGCAAAAAAAGAAAAGAAAAAGAGGAAAACAAGCATTTGGGGTAATTCGGAGCCGCTTAGTCTTAGTCGCGTGCACAATTTCCTATCGCCTAATTGGTCTTGTTCTGTTATTCTATCTCTAAGAATAACCCTGCCCTTTCCTCCCAAGCTCCCTTCTCCCTCTCTTCATGTTACCTAGTCTCTCATTTACCATTTCAACTTTGATTCCTGATTCTCCATTGCCAACTGCGCTCCAGTACAAATGAAATGATTTCAACATGTCTATCTTCGCCCTCTTACCACCTTTGCCGCCCTTCCTTTTCTCGGTACTCGTCGTGAGTGGCCTCGCCTCCAAGGCTTTACACATTGCGCTACATTTTCGGTCCTTACCCTTTCTTTACTTCGTCCTCTACTCGCCCACCCTTATTCTACCAGATGTGTTCGTCATCTTTCTCGTGCGAGTCTTGCTACGCTTCCATACGCCGGATAGTCGATGGCAATGGCTCTCGACTGTGTTGGGAGGGGCACTGTCGTATGTTTACCCCGAATACCCAATTACCGAAATGGAGCACAAGGGGAAATTCGCGCAACATATTCTAACCCTAGTACTAGCTTGATCACATGGGGTGCTTCCTCCATCCAGTTCGGGTTCTTTATGCAAACCGGTGCCGAGGTCGCCTGGGCAGCTGGCGGTAGCTTCCTGAGCGATCCGGCGGCCATGAAAATCCTCCTCAGCGGTATCTCAACGGTGACCGCTGCGGCCACCGTCCTCGGACTGATCGCCTGGTTGCTTCATTCGCATTTGTACAACATCACCGGTCTCGGCTTGCAGGCAATTCGAGACCTGTCCGCCGGGGGATACAAAGCGCGGTATACATTGATAACCGCCCCCAGCAAATCGTGCATGGCCTCAATCGACCTCCGGTCCCTCCGTCGCATTATTCCTGCAGTCGCCATTTGTGTCTCTCTCATCTTCTTGGAACTAACTAGGCCTGCTGTACCATATGACCATCTGTCCGGAGCTCTGCCGCTGACACTGCTGGATGCTTTTCAGAAAAAGACGGTGACAGCGGAGGGATGTCGCGAGCCCGCCATGCCATTCCCTTTGTTGATCACTGACGAGAATGGGGTGTCCCGTCCTCAGTTCCAACCGGACTCAATGTTTGTGGAACAATGGTCACGAGCTACCTGGCTTCCCGAAAATTCACCCCGAGGGTTCAGCCGCTGGGATCTCAGCCCGAGCGATCGTGCAGAGAAGGATAATCATTATTCTTTTGTTTGCCCTGGGGATGAGGGATTCTACGATCCGAAAAATGACCCGCTAATGGTCACGAATCTGGGCGGTGAAGTTTATGAGCCCCTGCAAAAGGCCTTCAAAGAGCACTCAGTCGAGGTCAACCATATAGTGCTATTAACGCTGGAAAGTGGCCGCAAGGAACTTTTCCCCACTCAACAGGGCACCCCCTTGTTTGACAGTCTTCTCGCCTCTCATAAGAAGCAGAACATCGGAAAGGCAATCGATCGTCTGGTCAACATGACCCTGGTTGCTCAACAGTTGACCGGCGAGTA